GTACTCTTCCATAGCAGGAGTGTCTCACGTTTGCGTGTTTACTTCCAAAAGGGCATTTGAAAACTCTACTTTTTGCCCGGAACTCAGATCACTTTCATGACCAAGTCAAGGTTACTCCCATGCTCTCCTCAATGCCATCAATCTCTTGGGAAGCGGACCTTCCTCTCACGCTATTTTGTTCTCGTGCCCCCCTTCTCTCTCGCGAATGATAAATACATTCTCCCTCCAAATATCATAACCACTTCCTTGTCCCCTATTCATCTTCAGAGCAAAAACAAACACAGGTTGACAATGTAATCTATTTACACAAGACAAGTCCTATCCATTCCAGCTCATAGCTTTTATTCAAACGAACACCACCTCTCTTTATTTAGGCAAAAACGTGTCTGTCATGTTATTCACAGACTGGAAAGTTAGACAAATATCAATGTCATGTGGAAATGTTATCCACAAACCGCATGCGAGCGTCACTTGTCCAGAAAAGTAACCACATTAAAACGGAACGAGGCAAACAAATCGTTCAGATGTAACTAAATATATAGTTTTGTCTTTCTGATCATGGGATTTCTGTATAACTCACTAACTAAACTGCAAACTGAACTGTTGCTTTTGCGTCTGCTTTTGGGGTGTGTATACTATGTAAAATATCACATAGAATATGGTTTCTGTTAGTGCACACCAACCAAAGTTCACATAGAAACGTTCACATAGGGACAGACTTCAGACTTCAGCCAACTTGTGAAAGTTTAAAGACTGCAACCACACTTTTAAACAGAAACAAAACTCAGCTCACATAAATTACAGCGTATAGACTACACTGCTGAATACCAAAGAAGTCACGTTAAAATCCAGCACCTTTTCCATATTTAAAGCACGAAACTCCACTTCTTTGTTGGCCTGCTTTCCCACACATAGACAACACGGCATCCATCATTTTGAGGTCCATTTTTATGATCCCACAGACAACTTCTCTTTGGCTTGCACTGGTAAACAAGTCTGTTAAATACATTGTAATGTAAGCAACATTTGATCAGATACCACGAATCACAACAATATGCCGAGTACAAAGAATGGATGTTACACAAACATGCTAATGCACAAACCGAGATTGTGTAAGCATGTTAATTTAACTGTCGGAATTTATCAGTAGGGCCGATGCCGGTCAAGTATACAATAGGAGTCACAGGGTGTGGCGTGTTTTGAAGATTTCCCAACAAATTCCAGCTTTCTCACTGAGATGCCAGGTACCACTGTAATATCGGTCCTGGAGGATCAGAGCTGTGAAAGCCTCATGACCCCCCTGTTCATCTGTTTGGTATCAACACCCTCATCAACATGATTCTCATCATCATTATCAGACAGGGGGCTTTTCAAAGGTTGTCTTGAAACACTTTCTGAAGTTCGTCCATGGGAGAATGAGTTCAGATGGAAACAAAGGCCCTCCCACACACAGTGAAACGTACACACAGATACCCCAGAAACCACAGCTCTCTCAACTATGGAACTGCAGCAAAGCAACTTAAAAAACACTGTGGTATCTGGAGCAGACCTCAATTTGAAATCGTTATATTAAGTATTTAAATATCGCTGAAAAAACCTTGGGGATTCAGTCTTACCAAATTCATTTCAAAAGACAATTTAAGGGATTTCTTATTGAATTAGTGCAATGTGAACATTTCATAGCCTCCACCCTGAGACCCCTTGAAGGACATGAAACCCAAAGAACTGCACATATGCCCGGAAGTACCTTCATATTGGCACCTTCACTCATTCCTAAATGGCAGTAAAAGTATTTCTTGCTCAATAACGACAGGAATTGAATTTTGATTTATGCTGGCGTGCTGGTCCTCAGTCTCATAAGCCGGAACGTCCACTGCTGAAGCTATCTCAACACGCCACTTCCTTTTCTGAACCTTTGATCACTGTAGAAGTCTGTCAAACACATTTGTGGCCAAAGCCAATGTGTTGCAGGCCAGATGTGAACTTGAAGAGAGGTGAGCCACAGCATGAAGGCTAATCTAGATTTAAAGACCATATAAAACACAGAGGTGGTTTTGATCTGGACCAAACTACGAGATGTGGACTCAGACTTACTTTCATTTTAATATTTCCTAATGGACAGTGAATGAAAACAACAACTCCTGTCTGGTGACTGGTTACCTAGATACTGCACAGGTACAAATTACACTGTGTGTACAAAAAAAAGACATCATTTGGATCCCTGTTTGATTGCCACATTGGTCTGAAGTTTGTTTTCCAGCCCTTTTGAATAGGTAACAAATGCTAACTGACCATAATGGCAGAATCTGTAATCGTGATGGTATAAACTACACCACATGAAGTGTTTGTTTGTATGACTGTCCAGATTTCAGCAGAGCTAGTCAGCTGCAGCAGCCCATAAAACACCCTTTTTCTCGGTGATATAATGCTAGTTTCATTTATCGTCCTCAGGACATGCAAACAGATGCATGTCTAACAACCATGCTCACTCAATTAATCATTAGGAGTAGCCTTTTGCACTTTGAAGCTTCTTTCTTCGAACACAAATATTCAAAGTTCTTTCTCCAGATTTCAATTATGCTAAATGGACAGCAGCATGCAATCACCACAGCTGAAGCCTCGAGTATTTTTGCACATATTGAACACAGGTGTGCTCTCTCAGGCCCACAAAAGACGTTTCATAATAGGAAGAAACGCATAATTCAAGAGTGTTGTAACTTGCTGATATGGAAGAAACTCTACTTTCAATAACAGTTTTTAACTCGGGTCATCTGTGCACTTGCAAATGAAGTCCAGGAGACAAAGAGCAGAGTAACGTGTGCTCTTGGCTAACGGCGTTTGCTGTCCCTCTGAAATGCTACAACATCACCAGTACAGGATGGACTATTCAGTATGAATGCCTGCCTCTGATGCAAATAGGCCTAAACACAAGGGGAGAGGCGAGTCTCCAGCTGCTCTCAATTCTCCCTCATGGGTCTCTCTTGGCAAAGGGAACGAACCAAATGCTAATGCAAAGAGCTTTATAGATGTGTGTGTTTCTGTCTTGTCAGTATCTCTGAATTGTAATATGTGGCATGTGCAGGAAATGAGAGCCATCCTCCTATAGCTGATGCAGACAAAGGACTGACAGGCTTCATAGGCTCTATGAAGCCAGAAAGTTGGAGAATATCCAGATACTTTTGCATACACTCCCCCTTTCTTTTTTATTTCTTTTTCTTTTAACTAAATGGGTGACAATGATGGATCACTGTGAGCCAACTCAGAGTCTCACAAGTTTTCTGGAGCAGGGAGAAAAAGTGGAAGAGAAAACTTGAGACAAATAGTTCAGTCATGAGGCAAAATAATGCACCAATTATCTGAGCACATGAGGCAGCCTTTAATATTTGATGGCAGTAAGCTAACAAGAATTATTCTGGCACTACACTGCAAAGAAAATACCTACAAATAATAAAAGATTTCCCATGTGAAATGAGAACTTTAGCACTTTTTATGACTCAACATTTCCCTCCAGAACATAACATTCTAGGATATAGTTTTTTCCCAATGTAAAGCTATAAGTAAGCTGAAAATAACTTCAACATAATTAATTTTCTGTAGCCACGTTTTAGATTCCATAGCCACAGGTGGCTGGGGTCTATTCCCAGTGTATCATTATCTGTTTTGTGGTCTACCACATACTGTCAAAGGGATAAAGCTCAACGTGGACTACAACTGAATCATTGACTGTAAAAAAAATAGAGGCACAAAAAAGATCCACATCAAAGATATGACACATTCCACAAAGGTATAAATAATGACACTGCAGCTCAGAGTATTCATTTAAATTAATGTATAGATCATTTTCATAGTGGTTTTGAAAAATGCTATACTTAGTTCTATACTTAAATTAACCACTTTGTAGAAGGATTCAGACTATTATTAGAGAGACTTCATCAGTGACGTGACAGAGACAACATGCTTTATGCCATTATATCTACATTGTTTTACTCTGCAGAATCAGTAACAATGAAAAAAATTAAAAGATGATGATATAAGTCTGTGTAAATGAACAATGGACACTGTCCGACAGCTATACATAATGAAAATAAGGTCAATAATCTTCGGTCGGGTTATTCTAAAGAAAGAAAGATTATTTTACAAGCTATTAGCACTGCAAATGGAAGGTCTTTGTCACCCTCTAGTGGTTAAATCTGCAGTTCCATTCCCCAACAACTCCACACGATTTTTGATTAGTGGCTAGATGATGGGAAATCCTAATTTAATTTAACTAGTCAGTCTAGTGAATTACCAAACAGCAATCATGAAATGACATCCCTTTGTCTCAATCAGATGCTAAGAATGTTGTACCACTAAAGCACTTAAATGCAATGGCATTTCAATATATATTTAGGGACTTGATTAATTATTTAATAGGACAGTCATGATTTCTGGAATTTCTATGTTATAAAATCTCATCAACAACAAACTAAATTAATGAGAACAAATAATTAGTAAGTGAGTAAAATAATAACTGTAGTACACAAAAGTCCTGGGAAGTTTCTACATATAAAACAGTACATCCAGGCAGTATGAATGACACTTATAATATGTCACGTTCATAAGACTAACAGCATAGAGACTAATCTGGTGACAAGGACAAAAGGAATTAAATGAAAGAGTATCTGCTAAAAATGAACAGTGCTGGCTCTCTCTTTAGCCCTAGAATGTTCACCTTTGTTCACTGAAAAGAGCAAAACCTTAGTTCACCTACAAAAATGTTTCAGTTATGTTCAAGTTAATACAAGATTAAATGTGTGAATGCTTTAAATACCCTTTCTAAATGTGTATGTCTAAATATCATATCAGAAAATGTCTGTTGATGGCCACTAGGTGGATCTCTAAACCTAGAGATGTGGTAATCGTTTATGAAAAAAGGAAAGACTTGATGGCATTTTATGAGGATCATTAGAGAGCTACATCACTATTCAGATCATTTTTATTCAAGCTGGACCCCAAAATAAAAATATTTTACTGTTAAGAATAAAGCCATGAACATAAACATAGCTATTAGGATTTTATTTGAGCTTGATGGTGTTACCTTCCTCCATAAACAACACAAACATACACAGTGCTGTTATTCAGCGTATTCAAGTCTTAAATAGCCTCATAAAATGAATCCACAAATGTAAAATGAAGTAGTTAATTCTGCATTAGTTGTGCAGAATGCAAAATTACTTCAGCTTATGCACAACTGCGAAATGCGTCTAAGATAATGACGTAACCAGACGTGAAAACTTAGGGATACGTTCGTAATGAAGCTTAAAACCTGTATTTAGATTGTATGTAGATCAAAAGCTCAGATTTCAACATTCCAAAACTGAAGTTAAGTGTCAGAAGGCCATGTTCTCTGTCGGAACTGGTGTTGGGAGCCTGGTGTGCTCAGTAAGGTTCCTCCTTGATCCTCCTGTACAAGCAGCAGGTGAACACCATCCCACAGATCTGAAAACGGAAAGCATTCGGTCAAAAACCCACCACAGAGGAATGTTGGAAGCTTAAGTACTGTTGACTGCGAGGCTGAGAAGGGTTAAAGGTGATGGAGTTAAAGGACCCTCTGGAAAAGCATGTAGCTGGTTACTATGGAGATGCAAAGAGTCAAGCAGCCATGACTGCAGCAACGGCATGTGTGCACAGACCTGTGGTAACAAAAGGAAGCTGGGGGCTGGGGTAAAACAACATGCAGGCATATGAACCAAGTAAAAAAATAAATATAGACTAAATGCATCTTTAAACAAATGTGAAACAATAAGGAAATGTATTCCAAGCATGAAAGATTTGCTGCATTGTTGTAACCCACGCAAATGAATGTTTCAACTTGTGCTGATTCAACGGGGCGAGAACTCAATGAGTAGCACCTCTGTAAAATCTTCGTATTAAAACAGCACACAGACATTGACCAACATCTTTGGCCCCGCCAGGCCTGATGACAAAGAGTTGAGTGCTCAGATTCTATCTTTCATTCTCTGAAAGCCCTGTGAGAGTCATTAAGTGAGTCAGCATTCTGTGTCAACTCATGTCTGTTTCTCAACCAATAATACTGTGCGTGTATAAGTCATTCCAGAAGACAGCAGATACATTGCACAACAACATTAACTAAAGTAATTAAGAAAAAAAGTAATTAATTTAAAAAAAGAAAAAAAGAAAGACACATCATGTCCAACTGGGAAGCAGAAGCTGTAAATCTTGGTAATGTAGGGAGCTCCAAATCTTCAGACAAATATTCTGATTTCAGTTGCAAATAATCATAGCAACAAGCGAGCCTCAAATTTAATATAAGAATAATAACAGAAAAAAGTGAGAGATTGAATCAAGCTATCAACTTAGAATTGTATCCTATATCTGCCTTCACGATGAATAAAACTGCTCTTCAGGTAAAACTGGAGTAATTACAATTTTTAGCATGAATACAGGGTAAAGAGCCACTTAGCTGAATAATCCAGCAGTGATTAATTAAGCTATTCACAGGACTCGTTTGACCTTAATCATGCTGCCCCTTACTTTTCGTCCATAAATGGCCATTTTCATAACATGCATTGCATAAGTCTGCATTGTACAGCCAAGACTAGAAGATGCATGCTTCAAATTGCACAAATAAATATTAAAGGAAAGAATGCTCATTTGGTTTACATGCAGATGGCAGAGCTTGCAAATAATACACAGCCAGCAGTCACACAAGGACAGGCATGCAAATATCCACAACGCCCTCCAACCTTGTCTCTCCATTTGATTAAAATCACCAACCAGGCTCTTTGAGCCAAATTATAATGCACCAAAGTCCTCCTCCTCTTCTTTATAGAGTAGATAGATAAAGCAGGCTGTCAAAAGTGCCCCGGCCAGCTACAGTAAGACCAAACACACACACACACACACACACACACACACACACACACACACACACACACACACACACACACACACACAAAGACATACAAGGCAATACAACAAAGACAGATTAGTATGGAACATCATAAGATCAAAGCTACGAGTTTCAGTTAAAAACTGCTACTGGGCTAACATTTATCTCAACAGACATACAAATTCAGTCAGTGTGACACATCTTCTAGACAAGAAAAGAAAAAAGACACATGACATGAAAATGTTGACAGTTGCTTATTTTCAAGTATTAAATGTCAATTGCATTTTCTAAGTATTGGGTTTGGGTTGTTCTTTAGATGCAGCCTCATTTATGTGTTCAGCCTTTTTTATTCCCATATCAACAGCAGCAGAGATTTCATGAGGTGATCTCAACATTTGCTTTTCAAGCTTTGATGGATATGGTAGAAAAAAGTAATATAATTCTTCCCTACTACCCGGTGCCTAATCAAAATTGAGCAGCATGTAAAATACTGGGCGTAGAATTGCCCATCAGGGTTACAGAATATTCCTAGATGGTTTAAACTTTCCCTCATAATGAATTATAGGGAGCTTCTCAGCTACAAAAAGACAGGGTGGTCAGCTTGTACACAACAACAGCAACAAAAAGATATATGCAGCACTTCGTCATTTGCAGAGCTAAAAGCTTGAGGCCATCACAGACTGAGAGATAATAAATGATAGGAATGAACACATTCAAATAATATTGACAGAAAGCCCATTGAGATATGAATAGAAGTTTCCATGCAGGGGTTGTTCACCTGCTATGGCACATTTTCAGTAACAGAGAGCTTGTGTTGTGCACCAAACACCAAGGCAAAGTCTAAAAACCTACTTGGCAATAAACCTTATTCTGATTCTGATTCTGATTCTTTATTATGTTTTATTCATCCATGGTCAGCAGTTAATCAAAACTGTAAAAACATTTTCTGGTTTGTCTAAAATTATATTTGGTTTGGAATGAAGTCGAGCAGTTTGTTTGTCTTTTCAGCAGCCATCGTTTCATAGCATGCCCTTCTTACCTGTAGGCAGGCCACTCCGATGCCCACGGCACCAATAATCAGTAGATGGTCAGCTAGAAACTGCTCCAGCTTAGTGATGCAACCGCCCTGCAGAGGAGGAAGTTAAAAAAGAATTCACATGAGCAATCCGTTGAATATTTTACACAATATCATCCAAAACCCTTCAGTGTTTCATCACAGCTAAAATCCTTCTTTAATCAGCAAACAGAGATAAGATTTATTAGGGCATCCATTTATTCTGACTCCATTTTTCCCCCAAACCACAGTTTTGAATGATTTACAGAAATGGAGTCAATGGGAACAGAAATGTCAAAAATTTCTGATCCTGCAACATGAACCAGGTTATTCATCTTTACTGGCACCCATTATCATTTCAACACTCAGGATATATATTTGGATTTATCCGTTGATGCAGGATCCAGGCATTTTGAGTAATAAGAGAAGAAAATTAAGGTTCTGAATCAAGAGAGTTTAAAAAGATTCAATTTGCAGTATGGATAAGCAAGACAGCCTACTCTACCAGGGAAATATGTAAAACTCAAGTGCTCCTTGTTGTTTGAAGTAATATAACATAACCATCTCATCTCTCCATTTCTATTAAACAAATTTGCCCCAAAATACTTCAAAACTCATCGACTATGCGGCCTTAAATCTGTTACGTTAATAACTGTCAGGTTTTGACAATTTTGGTCACTTACTATTGGAAAAAATTTTATATCTGTGTAACAAGCAGCAGTTTGTCTACGGCAGCTACACAAAAAAACAATCGTTTGCTGAAATCTGTTTAACCTGAACAAACAAAAGTCAAACAGATTGGCGAATCGGGACTGTCTACCCACCTCAACCTTGTAGATGTTTGAGGGGTGGTCTCTCTTGCCACAGAGAGGGGTGATGGTCTTACAGCAGCTGTCGGGCACCACCCTGTGTGCTGCATGAGTAGAAGTAATGTACGCACTCTGCTGCCAGTCCTGGGAGTTGTTGCTGCCACAGCATTTGAACTGGAAAGGCAACATTAGTTGCAAGTGAAAAACTAAGGCTCAATACAACATCAAGCTAAAGCCACGTCTTTATCAGAAATGGTGAAAACGCAACAATTCCTGCAGCAGAGCAAAGACTTCAGTTTATATCTTTGCTCTGACAACTTCAGTGTCAGTTTCAGAACGATGCCTGGTGGAAACCCTACTGGAATATACAGAGCTATGAGAGATATCTTCTATCACGTCTCAGCTTAATATAACTACTTAACTACTTCTTATGTACTGCTGCAGACTTAAAAAATGACAAAACATGTTTTCGGTCGTAATTCGAGGTCACACTTGCAATAAAGGGAATGACATTACATGCACAAGTCAAATATGTTGGTTGATTTGTAAATATAATCCATACATCCTGTTGCAGTCTGTCAACAGCTGATGTGATGGCCTCCTTCCCTGGCTGAGCATAATTCTCTGTCATTGTCTGGTTGAGATGCAGCTTCAGCTCTTCACTCAACTGGAAAAGAGGAACAAAGACAGAAGAAGCTAACAATGGCAACAGTGAAAGAACTGAAAAGGGGGGCATCTTTGAATAGAGAAAAACATCTATTAGATGTGTTATGCAATGTCAATCTAGCATCTGTATTTTGTAATTATACTACTTTCTGCCTGTTTAACTGTCAAACATGAAAAGCTTCAAATCGGACAGAAAAAGATGGTGCGGTACTAAAAGGTTTAGGTCAACAGAGACATGGCACAATATATATTATCTTCTATTATGTACAATCAGTCTTGCCTCGGGATTACATAAGGCATAACAAAATGCAGATTCAAATCCATTTAGATACATCAAACGTAGATCCCCTTCACTCCTCTGTGTCCCAAAGGAAGAAAACAAAATGTCTAAAAGGCCTCCTATAGTATGTGTCTAATTAAGGGTTAGTTGGTAGTGATGCAAGCTTCTGGATGTCACTCCATCATACAAACTGAATTTTTAATCCATTTATAGAATTACCTCCCCCAAAGTATTTCAAGTCAATAATGAGTGGTGGTGACTTACCCTTTGGTAGTATACATAAGCCAAGACTCCTGCCACCAGCTCGATCAAGAAGATCAACAGCAGGAAGAAAAAATACTGTAAATGAGAAATATGACAGCCAGAAGAAGGATGAAAGCAGTTAAATACCTTGGACTTAAGATTTCAATTCATTGAGACATTTCATTTTACAATCAGACACGGTTGTCAGCCAAAGTAACTCAGACTGCACTCAAACTGCTTCAAATTTTGTCAGCTCAACATGAACTTCCATCAACTGCCATCCTTCTGCCTGTGTCACTTGTAACACAGATGGCAATCCTGTACAAAAACAAAGCAGCCAGAAAGCAATCTGACAGGGATCCGATATCTCCCTGCTCTGCTAACAAAAGCACTGCCTCCTGCTTGAAACCATTATGGACTCTAATTGGTATCAAAACAACATCAGACAATAAAAATAAAAAAATCACCATCCACAATAACAAGCACTACCTTATGCACTGAAAATAAAAGTATAGGTGCAAAGATTAGGTGTTTCTAGACACCATTATCAATAAAATGTTTCCTCAAAGCATCAAAAACCATCCACATTATGCAATACAGACAACTCCCAGCACCCCGCTGTCACACAGTGTGACCACAGAAACAGAAGGACCTGTTTCAGGACTTCAACAATACCTGCTGAAAAGAAATGGTTGCAGTGATCACAAAGTAGATTTCAGTGTCTATATTTAGAGAAATGAGATGCGGAGGCTCGTTCTTTTGCACTTGGCAGCGCAACACCTGCGTTTTCCCTCATCTGGAACGCATTAATGACAATAAATGTGTCATGGAGACACACGGCTCGCTCTCTTGGTTACACGGTTTAAAAATCTGCATCTATGTGCTTGCTGCCCACACAAAATGCTCACTTCATCCCTTCACACGTGCACTTAGAGTACATGCAAATATCACACCTCGAGTTTGCCAAAATAACCAACAAATAGGACATCAATGCAGTCGGTGTTGACACAAACCGAACTACAGATCTGAAACGCTCTACTCATCCACCACTTATCCCCTGCGAGCCCCATGCTCGCTCCTATTGCTCCATCTATCTACAGTTGATAGGCAGACCTATAAATAGTCCTGCGTCAGTGAAGGTTCACCTCTTTTCTGCATCTCTCCCACTGGGCCCTGTCTCTGCAAAATAACGAGGACAGGAAGGGCCCCGTCAGAGTCATTTGTCAGCATCTTGTGGCAGACCTTACAACTGGGCTGGGCAATTGAGATCCATGTTGTGCTATTGTTATGCAGCAAGCCAGAGACTGCTTTACGGTACAGACATGGGCAATGGAGGGCTGATAAGTGGTGGTTGTGACCATCAGTGCTCTCTGTACTGATGAAGTATTAACAATATTCCTCAGGCTTCACCCTTATTTCTAATAAATCATAGATAGTATGCACACATGGTGTATGTTTTAGCTGTGGAAACATTTAAAACACACACATGCATTTATTATAACAACTACTGTCTGGTGCCTCTCGTGCCTCACCGTGGACAGACAGCCTCTCTGCTCCCGGATTACGGCACAGCAGCCTAAGAAGCCAGTGACCACCACAAGGCTGCCGGCCAGGATGAGGATATATGCAGAGACGGCAAAAGTGCTGGAAGCCAGCAGACTCAAGTAGTCGCTCTTCTCCACCAGAGTCCAGACTCCTACACCCAAGACAGCAGCTCCGCCCACCTGAAATGGTAGAGCAAGAGGAAGAAAGGAGGTGGTGGGATTGGAAGTACTTGTAAAGGGACACTGGGAGTTTTCAAAGTAGAACACAAAGGATAAAGAAAAGAAAAGCCAATGCCCCAAGGGTGGTATGACTCAGTACATTCTTTTTATAAAAGAAAAAAGAAGCAGAGGGGGAAAAAAATACTTTTCAAGGAAGGAAATGGGTTCAATGGCATTAGTTGAGTCACAGACAAATATAAAAAACACAAAAAAACAGGACAGGGCAGAAGAAAAAAACAAGAGGAGAAATCGGGAAAAGTGACACAATAACAGACACAGAAGGAGTGTGACTTCAGATATTAAGTTAGGGCATGATGACCACTTCCTTAGAAACAGTCCTAAACTGACCACGGATCCAGATCTCTTCCTCTCCTCTAATGAGTTTCACAGGCTGACAAATAGGAAATGCCTTAGAGTGTCTTTCGCCTTCATCCTCCCATCCTTTTCCGTCTGAGGCAAGACCTTTCTGATACAGAGCAACACATGCCCAACCAAAGGGGCACCACTTGTATACAGGATTTACTGAAAGATCATTTTATGTTTAGGCAGGATACACTGAATAATGTGTAAAATCTTTAAAATTGTTAAAAGGAACTTCCAAGTTTAGATTGGGCTGAAATGCAGTTCCTGAATGCAGTTCCAAATCAGTGTATTTCCAATAGTATCCTGGCAAAAAGCAATTAGCAGAAAAATATTAATCATAAAAAATAAGTTTATTAATGTTCCTGTGAAACTAATAACTAATTAGTCTAATTCATAAAGGGAAAGAAGCTGTCCTTATATAAATTCTAAAAGGTTTGGGCCAAGTTCAAAGCTCTACCTTCTCAAACTTAGTAGTATTCTTAGTAGTCTTTCCTTCATCATCTATCGCAACACTGTTTTTAAAGCAGCGTTTAAACTGTGCAAGTAAAGAAAAAGAATCCCTGATTTTCACCTATGTCATGGAAGCCTACATTTCTTTGTATCTCACCACAAACTTGAGGTTATGAGGGGACATAGCTTCAAATGTGAGTTCTAACTTACATCCACTTACCCAAAAGAGAAAGTTAAACACAAACAGAAGGTACTTGAGGAACACGGTCTGCCAGTCTCCCTGATCATCTTTATAACCTGCCGACATCTTCCTTTCTCCAGCTTAACTCTGAAAGTGCAAAATTGATTATAAACACAGGATGAATAATATGAAATAGTGGAAGGAAATACTTTTTTTAAAGTTGTAGGTTTTGTCATGTCAGAGACACAGGACCCATAAAGAAAAGCACGAGGCTTTCCTCTTTCATTTATCAGCTATGTCCAGATGTATGTGCAAAACTCCTCCCAGACTTTTCTCAGTGTGAGGGGAAAGGTTGGGAGGGGCACTCAACAGCATCCAAACAGGTTATGAAAGAAACTATATCCACAATGATTATTTACGAAAAAATATCCCCATTTATTCTTTCTCCATGTTAAATGTCATAAAAAAGATCAAAGTTGTGATTGCAGCAGTTTAAAGAACCAAAATAAAAAATCGCATTTTTTTCTGCTGTCAAATAATTAGATCTATTTGTATGCTTTAGGTGGCACCCATGTTTACAATATCGTCTCGTCTGATGTATCACAAATCACATATATAAATTATTCATGGCCTTGAACAGACCATAGACCTTTGAATCATTAATTGAGAGCAGTTTCAGATCTGTAAATAAAAGGCCGTGGAGTGGGAAGCTCTTTCTGTTGGCCCATTAAACCGATCTATACCATGCTTCAGCTTACATGACAAAAGAAAATATAGCAAGGTCAGCCAAGCAGAAGCACAATATAACATTTGAATACATTTTTTACTATATAATATCAAGCATCAAATGGCAAAGGTCTTGACACAAGTCAACTAGAATCTAAAAAGTATTAGTCTATCCACAAAAGGCAAGGAAATTATTATGTACCACTAGAATTGTACTTTTGTCGAAATGTTTGTTTCTTTTATTTGTTATTGTGTCCAATGTGGAGGAAATACAGTTTTATAAAAGTCTGCATTTCCCCTCTGGCAGCCTCAAATAACCATACTAAAGCAATCTATTAGCAGCATGCCTGGAGTTATTAATTGTTCATTTAAGGGAAGAAAATATACATGTATACATGTATACAGTGTGGAGTGATGCATTCAACAAGTTTTTCAATGAATGGCTGGTGAACTACTCAGGTCAATATATGTCAATTTGTCTGACTTCCTCGTTTGTCTTTATGATACTTAAAAAATGCATTAAAACAGACATTTGCAGAGAACAATCTCTGGTATAAATATACAAAGGCCCAGACTCAGTATTTCTGGCTTTCAAGTATTGTAAATCATTCTGAAAAAAAGAAGAGATTTAGCTTTATTGGGTATTAATTTTCTAATAATTTCAATTACAGAAAAAAAAGTTAATGTGTTTAGTCATTCAAATTGAGAGCAATTTAAAATCTCGTGAATAAATGAATGATTAGTTGCGGAATTTCTTAAAAGAGGCTGTTTTTTTCTCTTAACTTGGGGCTAACTGAGGCGCAGTCATGTGTTGAATGTGTGCGCGCTCCCGCGCCTGAGGGCAGGCCTTCTACCTGGATGACCACCACAGTGACGCACCACCCGTGTCCTCATCCGCGTCAACCACCTGTGACCGCCCTGTTTATCTCCCGGTAGCGATGGAAAAAAACATTTTTTACCGGATAGACAAGCTGCTTCTCCATCACCAATTTACGCATTTCCATTTTTAACTGCGACTCTTTTAAGCCCTTTGACTCCAAAGCGTTCGATCTCGCGATGAACTTTCTTTTAACGAGGCTTTTCTTTCCGCCTTATAATAAACGTCTGTCCAGATGCGCGGACACCTCCTGACGTCCTCTCCACGACGTGCCCTGCCCCACACATTTCTGGACTTTGGCCACCGTGCGTGTCATAAGCCAGAAATAAAGACAGTGTTGTATCTTAAGCGGTTTCGGTCAAACTTTCTGTCCCACTTTCCCGACAGGGACATGGAACCGCGCATCCTGGAAAACGAGACCCTCCTGCGTCGTACATACATACGCAGGGCAAAGTTAAGTTAGGACTACCGCATTTATAAACATGTTTTAAAAGGTAGATCAACACAATGGACGTTTGTAATCTTAGAACCGAGGCAAACACTCACCAAAGCAACACGTACTGTGAGCTAATTGCGTTGATTTTATGCCATTCGCTTGGGAGAGTCGCAGCACCGGCGCAGTGGTGGGCGTTTTGTCCAGTCCAGTCCAGCTTGTTGCTCACAGGGTATCCCAACGGCTTCAGGCGGTGGTGCGTTTGATAAGCTCGTACTTTTTAATGCTATCATAAATTGGGGGAGAAGTCCGACTCCAGAGCCTTTTAGCAGCTTTACTGTCAGTGTGTTTACTATGTACATAATATAAACAATTATTATTAAGAAAAAGCCAAGGAAGGGAGCAGCCTTTCCAACTGATTTAACTGCTTTTATTTGAAATATATTATTTTTAAACGTATTGTCGTTTTTTTTATAACTGCAACAATGCACTACACTTCAATTTCTAGAATCCAGACAAAAGGTATGCATAAAAACATTTTGGGTTACACTCAAAGCTACAAAGTGACTTAATCTGGAAGGTAATATATAATATATAGCCACATTTATGGTGATGAATGTTGATGAATAAATAGAAATTCCACAAAGGACATCACATGCTGCAAAGTTAATTCAATTAATCAATTAACTGAGTTTGAATCAAACTTTTCTAAATCTATTACTGAAAAGTAAGCTTGAATGATGCTCGTATAATGTTTAGGTTACATATTTCTTACAGTCTTGAAGGTAGCACAGGGTAGAGAGCTCTAGCCTCTGCCTTCCTTTCCAAGATAGAGTCAATACCAAGGTGCCATTCAGCCCAGCCCTGGTTACAGTGTAACTACAATAAAAAGCCATGAAGTATTTCTCAATAAAGTGTGCTTGGGTAAGAAAAGATCAAAATTACAAAAGTAAACAAACAAAAAAAAGATTTAACTTTGAGCAAAGCTTCAATTTTAGGCTTGTCTTCTATTTAAGAAATTTACAAGAGTATTAGTGATTTTAAAATCTATTGTTAAAAACCTGCACCCTCATCTCGACCTAACAATTGCAATTTCATGCTATGTAAAGTTGAGATTTAAATGACTGTGGCAGTAATTTGGCATTGAACAGATTAACATTGATTGGTTTCCTAGACACTTTATATTGCTCCATGTGATAGTATAACCAGCCAAAGAAACGCAAACATTTGACAAATATATGAGACACATGCTTGGTAGGTAACACATCTGGAGAAATGAGAGACCAAATATAATAGATAACAATTGTAATGTTCAAACCTTCACTGAACTACGGGCACTTGCTTTAAAGTGTCTCATTTATTTCTAAATATAAATGTGATACAAGGTATAAGAATGCATATTCCCTGTACTGAAGCCAGCTCATTTTTATGCCCAGTCAGTGCATTTGTGCCAAGTCTCTTTCTGCTGGAGTCAGTTCACCACCTCTTGTGCTTTTGTTGCTTGCTAAGCTCTCTTATTCGTCGTCCCACAGGGGAGGGGAGGGACAGGGCTTGACTGATTATCCATGTCAAATACAAACTGGTTAAGGGAAAAGCAAACATGATGTGCAGCCGTGTGTGTGCCTGTGATTTCAGAGGTGACAAAGGGAAGCAAAGCTTGAGTGCAGAAATGGAAGCCAGAAAACACTGTTGCTGCAGGCACCGGATCCATTATTTAAAGGATCACATCCTGTTATCCAAAATATATGGGCTTAGAATCCAGGCTTTCATGCTAAGTGGGCAGAAGGGTGGTACACTCAAATGGGAAATACGTGGAAAGACAGATATTATCAAATGAAATTGCTCAAAACTGAGCATTTCAGAGATTTTTTGGCAGCAAAATGGTCTATGTCAGATGTGAAAACATTGCAGTTTTAAAGCAGATTATGAATTATTTGAACTCATGAGAGTATCTTAAAGAAGTCGTTACTGCTTGATGTGTCAGAACTCTTGTGGTCAGAGATACACGGGGTCACAGGTTTGGAAAAAACAATCACAAAGTTCCTGTCAACTCATCTAATCAACTAAAAGTTCCGACTGGACTGCTTTGAAATATATTCTTTTGATCTAACAGAACAAACTGCTCATGAATAAGAAACAGAATCTTACCGGGTTATGGACAAAGATCATTTTGGAAAATTGCTGTTGGGGATCCTTCAGACAAGGCTTCCTGTCTCCAAGCACCTCCATGCATGCAAAGTACTAGAGAAGCACCAGCGGTCAAGGTAACATGTGAATGAGAATTCAGTCACAGCAGGTAGAACAGAGAAACATGAAACCAGCAGATTATTACTGTAGCATTTAACCAAATCCAATCCAAATCCATTTCCAGTGTTAGTGACGGTGGAAAGGTCAGTTTCCTGTGTAATATTTTATTGCTTTTTTTATCTCCAAAAAGTGAGGATTGTCTTAGCCAATATAGCTCAGGGGTGATGAACAGGCACAGTGTCAATCCCCTAAACACACTCAGCTCACTGAGCTGAACACGTTGTTCATGTTTTTTTAAGACAAATTTTTCCCCCATCAAGGAGTGATTAGAGCTAATAGTAAATAGATCTGTCATGCTAACTGAATACAATAAAGTTGAAAGGGAAAACATCCAGTCATTTGAAGTAGAAGGTGTGAGTAAATTACAAGTTTTTACATTATTTCCGTAGAATACATGGTTTAAAAATATGCTTCTTCTTGTCTGTTGACAATTGTGTGTTGATAAATGATGTAAAAGTGTCTAAAAACCAAAAGCACCGTAACAGCCTGAGTCTGAGCGAATGCTGGAGTTTTGAACAATGTGGGTCCTTAATGGATGTTGACAGAGTACAGCCTCACATCTTTTGTGGTGTGAACAGCTTTTTGCAGCTTGCCCACTGCTTTCACTCCTGACTCCTGACGACGCGCTCCTGCCTCCACGCCGATATGTGTGTGCATGTGAGAAAGTGCAGGCATGAGTGTGACGCGTGGGCCGATGTTCCTTAGCACCACTGATAGAGCTCACCCTTAACTGTGACTAAAACCTAGCATATTTGATTGTGTTTGGCCTTTAAAACGTGGGGATATTTATACTTTTAACAAATTCCTTGTTGGGGGCACCATTAAATTCTTGGAAGCAAAGTCAAATAAATAATTGTAGTGAATTTAACAGCGTTTCAAACTCTTGCTTGGATTAGTAAATGTCAGTGACCTTTTAAAGTCTTCAATTTCAAGTAAATTCTCTGCTTGTGATGTATCTCAGTACCAGGTAACTAAGGGAAAGCGTGTGTGAACAGGTGGGGTATGCGAACACAATCTTTTTAGGGTCGGTCAAAGTGTAAATATGGTCAAATATGAGAATGACTGACATAAAGCAACACCAGAAGATGTCAGTGACTAATACTCTCAGAAAGAATTGTATGAAAAATGGACAATCATGCTGTTCTTTATGGATCTAAAGTGTAAGCACGCTGTGCTCAGAGCTGATGAAAGTGTGGGTGTCTTTGGCTTTTGCTGCTATGAAAAGCACATGCTTTGGCTTCACCACAGGGATGAGGAAAAGAGAATGGCTGCGAACAATAAGAATGGAGGGAGTTTTTTTTCCCATGTGTGGTGAGAAAATGTTGTTATATCAACAGTATTTTTTATAGTTTGGGGGAGAATAAAGTTGGTTTACATTTTGTTTAAAACTACTTCGTGATTAAGTTGTGTTAGGATGGTAAAATAATCACGTCCCTGGTTAGCTCAGCACGTCAACAATTCAGACCAAGAAAACAAACAAAAGAACACACTATTTAGAAGCAAAAACAACAATCTTTGTTACTCACTCTGTTCGAGATACAGCTTTTTAAACGTGTTGCTGCTAAAACATTCTTCTTTCACTTTTAACTTGAATGAATGGATATGTGGTTTTCACACTCTTTTGTATGGCGACACTTACTCAGCTGTGGCCTTCTAAAGAAAATGGTTCCTGAGTGAACGTATAGTTGTTTAGTGCTGTGCACAAAATACAGACCACTCGGGTTTCAGCTCTCTCCGTCACAAATGCACTTACGGCATATTTTTCCTTTGGTGACAGCAGACCAGAATTTCATCTTGCCCCTCCTCCTGATATGGTGTGAACTGACAACACACCATGTCTATATACAGGTGGAAAATATTGTATTTCTGCAATGTACATTTTTCTTCATATACTGTATATCTCTTATGAATCAGCAAAAACAGAAACTGTAACATTCAATAAAAAGCTTTGATGTACATCGGTTGGTAGTATTTTCATTCTTCCTGGAGCTAAATGTACGTCAGTGGGTGCCAGATCTCTGTGTTTTGGTGGGTCAGAAGCAAGAAAGTCACATTTCCCCACATTATGCACTGTACCTAAAGCACAGTGGACAAAGCAAAGCATTATTTATATGGGATCAAGTCTAACATCCAGGTGATTGGCTGTTATTTGTGCTTCATGGCTGAGAAAAATGTCTATTGGGCTATTGGGAAATATAATACTCAGATGACACCTTTCATAAGAACACTTCTGGTAATAGATGAGTTTAAACAGTTTGAATTCAAGTTTCTGTGAAGTGGTTTTGATAATACTAGAACAGACTTCTACCACCCAACTATTTGAGCACACCTGTGACTGCGTGCGACGATGTATAGATACTAATGTGTTCCCAAAAAAGACGAACGTTCGAGCGTGGTCAAGTAAAACCGAGAAAATAAGCACCTGCCATTTACACACCTGCGTTGCATAAGCTCGAGACTTTAAAGAGCGGAGCTGGCTATTGGTCTCCACAGAGCGCGTGGGCACCGTTTCTGTAGGAGGGACACGCGCAAGGGTGCAGAAATGCCTTCATTTTGGAGGCAGACTTCTTCCAACTTTTCTTTCGTTGGCTGCTTCCATCTCATGCCTCTCACTCACCCTCGGATTCTCCTTTAATTTTCTCTCGGAGGAACTCAGCGGAATCACAGACAGCGGGGACCTCCAGCGCGAGGAGATGGGAACTGTTCGACTTTTGGCACACAGCCCCACTTCTCCGAGTTAAGGTGCCATCTGTTTCCACGAGCTGAAGAAGTGGAGGAGCAGAGGAATTCCGGGAGTGTTGTTCAGTCTGTCAAGTTGTTCAGTTGGGTTTTCTTTTTTTCTTTCTGATTTAGCTCAATCTTGTCTAATTCGCGTGACCGGTGATGTGAGACGAACCTGCAGCGTCACATAAACGGCGCGTGCGGGTATTATTAACGTTAATAATCAGTCGTAAAACGAGCTTTTCAGCCACTAGAACTCCCCGCAACACAGTCCTCCCACTAAAACTACCTGTCCCACAGTCACAGAATGGAATACCGAACGTTTCAGTTGGCACCAATTCATCTCTGAACTTGTGGAATTAGGTTTATTCAATTTAGCACACGAAGATGCTTTTCGCCTCATGACTCCCGCCTTTGCCTGTGCTCTTTGGATATCTTTGGAGGCTTCGAGTTATTCTCGGCTCGTTTCTTGTAAGCTTTCGGAACCTCCGTGCACTTAAAAAGAGTTGCGGGTGAAATCTCGTCGGCTCTCATGGGACTGAGGCACTCGTCACGTTGTTTGCTGCTACGGCGGAAGATGGCGGAGGCGGACAGCTCGGAGGTAGGGACCTTGTGGTGTCCTGTACCCCGTAACAACGGGACCGGGACTGTCACAGTCTTGTCATTTTTTACATTGAAAACACATATATTCTTGTCTTTAAAAAAAAAAGAGAATACCGAGCTAATTTAGAGTGGTTTTCGAGCAAAGCGAATTTCCCCGAGTCCTGCAGATGTTACGACCGAGTCTGAATTGGTCCGAGTAGACTCTTCAAATTTAAGAGAAAGGATTAGATCATTTGTGATTTGTTTTTATATATAAGTTAAACGATATGGATACACGGACGTGCTGAACATGTCCGCTGTCCTTGGTGCTGAAACAGAACCGTAACCTCTGCCTGCTTTTCCCTCAGTGTGCAATAGTAGCACATCTTGTCCTATGTGTGTAGTGGTGAAAGCTCTATGGTGTTATGAGATGTCATTAAGGGACAAAAACTCACACAGGGTGACTCTTGCAGCCCAATAATTGTCTGTCAGGAAACCAACAAACTGCTGATGGATTCTGCTCTAGCCCTATCTTTGCTTTTCCTACACCACAGCGGCAACAGCCTGTCATTTCCCCCCTCTCCCAGTCTGCTCAGCCTTCATCGCTGCCTAAACCAGTGTCCACCACCCATCATGTGCCCTGTGTCCCCCACGCGCCTCATGTAGCAGCCCTGGCCACCTGTCCTGGACGAGGCAAGATTGCCAAGTTCATCAGTCCGGAGGAAATGACATCACGGGACTATTACTTTGACTCTTATGCCCACTTTGGCATTCATGAGGTAGGCAGACCAGGCTGACAGCAGGAAGCGTGGTATGATTAGAGTAAAAGAATGACACCAGATGCCTTCTATTAGCCCTGCCAAGAAGATTCAACCCTGCTTGTTGGACTTTCTTGCAGTAATATGTGTCAAAACCTCAGCTGATTCAGAAAGGGAATTTTTTATTTTGCTAGTCATCCATGGTTTTGTGGCATAGATGTTTTACTATTGCTGCGGCAAACATGCTTACAGAGGCAGTCACTATTAACTGGAATAGCCTAAATATTGACCTTGGAATGTGAGTAAAAGCTGCTGTAAAAGTTTGGGGACATGCAGACCTTCTTAAATAGTGTCCATATTTAGCATATGGGTCAGCTTTTTGTCTGCTTGCAGACAAAGAGAGTGTCCTGATTAAATAGTTCATAGCAAGATGGAAGGAAAGTGGGATGTGTGAATAGGCTTTGGGAGATGGGTATCAGGTAGTCCCCATAGACTTTATGTTGTACTCTTGTCTATTTCAAGAAGCTCAGCTACTGTCACTGAGGTTTTTGGTGTAAATCCTCACCACACATAAAAACACACATGCTGATGTGGAACTGTATGAACTGTAACTGTACTTGTATGAATCACACGATTCAGATTGGAATTTGAAGTCTCTCAAATGTGCCAAGCCTATAAACCCCTGTCTCTAACACAGGAGATGCTGAAAGATGAGGTGCGGACTCTGACGTACCGGAATGCCATGTATCACAACAAGCATGTCTTCAAAGATAAAATCGTCCTGGATGTGGGCAGTGGTACTGGGATCCTCTCTATGTTTGCTGCCAATGCAGGAGCCAAACACGTGTACGGGGTGAGGCAGACAGATGCACCTTCAGGCCACAGTCAGATTCAGTAATACATTGCTCACTGATTTTGTTAAATAATTTTGAGAGACAACAGCCTTTTACTTACTTGACCCGATAAGTCAATCTGTTGTAGTAACTGAAAAGCTCATTCCCACAGTTTGATTCATGAACTGATTCATACTTATGGATGATACAGATCTTAGGTGAGGGACTATGAGCATTAGTATTTAGATGGATTTGCATGGTTTAATTAAATTGATCCTTTCAGTAGTTTCAAAAAGATTAACTTTAGTATTGTGCATAAGGAATTGAGACATAGTACTCTTTATTCCAATTCTACTTTATTTATTTGTTTAAATATTGCACAGCTGAAAACAGGAACTATTTACATGAATATGAGCTCTTAATAGAACTGTATTTTTTTATCAGACATTTAAAAAATATATCAGACAAAAATACAGGATTTTATTTTTTACCACAAAGTGTATTTTGTCCTTATTCCTGCAGATTGAGTGTTCAAGTATATCTGAATACTCAGAGAAGATCATCAAGTCCAATCACCTACACAATGGTACAGTTTCCTTGCTATACCATCTCTCTAAATTCAGAACTGTGCAATGATACGAGGGTTAGAAGAAGCATGCAAAATTTGCATATTCCCATCACTATGGTCACACTTGACAGTATTAGTCATAGTTCTGATGGTTAACTGGCAGCTAGCCTCTGATGTCAAACAACCAGAATCTTTGCCATCAATCAGAATGCCCTCAGTGTGGCTTATTTCCATTATTAAATGCCACCCACGAGCCTGACAGATGGAAGTCTCAGCAGATAGTGGGTTCCATAACCTTCACATGTGACATTAAGCTATTTTGAATTTAATATTTTCCATATTAAAATTTCAAGCTTTATCTGATGATAATAAGATAAAAATTAGATCCATAATTCAATTTGAAAACCTTTTTTTAGAGTGTTGACTAAAAGTATGATAATTAATTGGCAATAAACATTTAAAACAGAATGATTTGATTTATTAAAATTTTTTTAAATTTTACTACATGTTGTAATGTTTTAAAGCAGGAATGCTTAATATAAATATGTTGAAATAATAATTTGCACACTTTTTCTTGTGGACGTCACAGTTATTACCATCTTCAAGGGCAAGGTGGAGGAGGTGGAGCTTCCCGTGGAAAAGGTGGACATCATCATTTCGGAGTGGATGGGTTACTGCCTCTTCTATGAGTCCATGCTCAACACAGTCATCTTTGCCAGGGACAAGTGGCTGGTATGACCGTGCCGCTAGAGTCCTGGGCCTAATGTGTGTGCTTGTGTGCCTGTATTTGTCTTGTGATGATGAGGTCACACCTGAATGATTTGGTTTGTAACCTCACTGGGTGCCAAAAAGCTTTAAACTCGATACATGTGATCCTAGATTAGATCCCAGGTGTGTGAACAATAAAGATGATGATGTGTGTGTGTTAGATACCTAAAGTCCTTTCGTTTTTGTATTAAGAAACCTGGAGGCCTGATGTTTCCGGACCGGGCAGCCCTCTATGTGGTAGCCATCGAAGACCGACAGTACAAGGATTTTAAGATTCACTGTGAGTAATCATCACAGTTTTGTTTACTTTCTGTTTCTTCTCTGTATTCTTGTCTCTTGCCGAGTGTGACAATTGATAATTTTCTGGTAAACTAAGTAGTTCTTTGGGATTCTTGGAGGCTTAATTATAGCCACCACCTTCCATTACCCACTCTTCTACTTTAATTTACCAATTAGTCTCTACGGAAAAGTGTCAAACTGTGGACTGATTTTATTTCAAACCACCCAGGTGAAACTAAGGCTAATTGTCTAACTGTGAGTCGAGAAACCAAAAGAGCACATTGAAACACTGATTGTTAAGTATCCTTATGATTTATCCACCCATTTTACTGTTATTTATGTAAAAGCGCTCTCTTAGCTAATTCTAACCTACACACTAAAAATGTGTGAATCCTTCAGTAAGAAAAATTTGTGGGCTTGTACCATTTAAATCTCCTAATTTGGCTCGTGGCCCAAAAAATGCATTAAGGTGTCTCTATCCAGTTCATCATTTTAGCTGTACTTATGGGCTCTCTACCCAGTTGTCAGTGCATCCCAACTCACTGCTGATTTGAAGTTGCATGAATGAAATACAAAGTTTGTTTGGAGAGCAAAGGTCAAAACCAGGTAGACAGTTACTGTAGCATTCTTTTATATCCACAAGATTAATAAAAACATCATCTAAATTGCAAAATGGGCAACAACTACAAAGGATTTAGGGTTAAAAAAAAATAGCTGCAGAATCAATTAGATCAAGACTGTAAATATAAATCATAATGATCATAGGTAAAATCAGCTCTGGTTTTATTGACGCTCATCTTCAAACTGCTGCTGTTGTGAATGATAGAGTCAGGGTTTTGTCACCACCATAAATTGTAACAGTTTGGTTTGTAAATAAAAATGAACAAATATGTGATTATCGATTCTGGACTGTAGACTCCTTTCAGAAGTGGTTCAAATGTCTTGTTAAGGCAGCCAAAAGTAGAATAAGCCAACAAATGAACCAATTGCTTTCACATGCTGCTGTACAGTCAATGCTCTAAAGTCACCGAGTTTGTCCAAATAATCCTCACAGCTGGAACAGTGAGCTAAGCTTTGTGATCCAGATCAAGGTGATAATATTAATGATGTCTTTCACTCTTGTATCAGTATTGAATCTGGGTCAATAGCTCCCACTTTCTTCACATTTGCCTCTCGGGTGGCCCTTTGTTGTTCCATTACATCTAAAGCTTTCACGTAGAGATACATTCTTTCACACAAATCTCCAAAGTACTGAGTTTACCCAAACGTTCACATTCTTATTTTTAGTGTCTCTGTGTTGGTGGTGCATTCTTCCATCATACAGATTTGGCGCTTGGCTACCTGACAAAACAAAATGGAGTGAAGGGACCGAGGAAATGGGGGAGGGAAAGGTTGTTTGGTGTGTTTTCACTATATTATAACAAAAAAAAGAAGCTGCCAGACGTACTGGAGGAGGATGGAGCTTATTTTTAGGAAGACTTGTCATTCCCCACATAGGACTTAGAAAGAGCACATAATAGTAAGTGTAGGACTCTTCTTCTTGGCTGGGTTAAGTGTTCTTTTTTTGTATTCTTTTGAGAACTGGATTCCTCTTTTTGAGCTGACTGCTTGGCAGAAATAAGAAGTGGAGTGGCAGGTTCAATTAAAGATTTAAACACCAGCAAAACACACACTGTGTATTTGTGCAATAGATGCTTATGTTTTTGTGTGCACAGGGTGGGAAAATGTGTACGGGTTCGACATGAGCTGCATTCGGAATGTGGCTATCAAAGAGCCTCTGGTGGATGTGGTTGATCCCAAGCAGGTCGTGACAAATGCCTGCCTCCTAAAGGTTAGTTTGTGTTCACTTCTCCAGGGAATGCGTTTGTACGTTTACTCAAAATCTACTCAGAATAACTTCCCATTCTAACATTTTGTGTCGAAGAATGCTTAAAAAACATCTGACTCCTGTCACATCCAGTACCTCTGAGCATATAGTGAGCCAGACACTATATTGTAGTACATAAGAGGTTTCTGGTGAGTTTTAATAGACTGCAGATCTGCTCCATGCATGAAAACACACAGTGGCTTTCCTTTTCTTCGCACAAATGAACAGAGGATGAGAGCATCAAGCCAGGTGATGGCTTCCTTTTTCATTCGCTCTACCTCCTTTTGTCATTGCTTCCTGTTTCAATGGCCCCTCTCTTTCTATTGTATATCATGTTTCTTCCCTCCTGGATTTTCTCACACTTCCTTTTTTCCCTCCTTATGTCGTTCTCCCATCATTTTGTGGTTTCATTTTTCTCCCCCTCGCTTTATTCCCGCACATTTTCTTCTTCTCCCCTTTATGTCACATTTTCTGATTTAAACAATGTCAGGCTTCACTAATTTCAGAGAATAGAAAGGTCTCTCTCTGTCTGGCCCTCTGTTACGGTGAAATGTCATTGAGTCACCCCTTGGAATGGAATTGGCTCCTCAGCTACTTCAGAAATAGAGGGTTCTGATTTTATGCAGGAGAGTTAGTTACCAGCTAGTAATTGACCACTTGTCTTAAAACTAATTCTGGCTGTCTATCACATTTTTTTTTACAGTTTTCTGTTCAGGGCTGTTTGAACTATTTCCCCTGCCTGTCTGCCACTTCACCCTATCTTAATTTGAGCTGTCACTCACTCCTCACTTTCTAATAATTCATTGTTGCTCCCACGGATTTTTGTTTCTCACCTCCTACAATTTGCAGTATATGATATGGGCCTGATATCATTGGGAAGGACAGAGGTGTTAAATCACAATCTGTCATGCTGACGCCACATGGCTTTCCAGGATGAACAGGTTGGAGTGTACAATTTCTCCTCGTGCCTTGAGAAACATCATGTACATGCAAAGCAGATACAAATCTGCTCTGACTATTTTAGACCCACTGAGATGCTAAGCATGTTGCAAAACGTCATCCTGGTCTCTGATGTGGTTATATCGACAAGGCACTGTGTGCAAGAACGCACACACACACATATACACTTAAAATACACAAAATCTCCCTCCATAGAAGATCCCAAGGGAGGACACCCACACAGCATGTGTACTGTGAGCAGGCTTCATTTGCCAGCCGTGATTCAACCTGTGGGCTTTAGCACACATACTCTCACACATGCAAAAAATGTGTGGTGAGTAATCGTGGTGCTCTGGCATACTGTATGTATGCAATTCATGTGTGAGTGAGATGGCGAGTGAAATTGAACACACTATTGTATGTGACTCCATGCAAATGTTCTTTGTTTCCAACACTGTCCATCAGCGGGAAAAAAAAAAGCTTCTTCAATAATCTTCAGAAAATGTAACTGTTCTTTTCTTCCTATCTAGGAGGTGGACATCTACACTGTGAAGCCAGAGGACCTGTCCTTCACCTCGGCTTTCTGTCTGCAGATTCAGCGGAACGATTATGTCCACGCACTGGTCACCTACTTTAACATTGAGTTCACCAAATGTCACAAGAAGACTGGCTTCTCCACTGGTGTGTTTGGGCTTAGTTCTTGGTTTTTCTCAGTTGTGTTGATCCTGATTTGCCATGCAACATTTGAGGATCCATGAATCTGAAGCAAATTCTATGAAATAAGGACGTTAAAGTCTGAAGTCCTTTTTGTATATTAACAGCCGTTTACCCATTGAAACAGCACCTTCTCCCAGTTCTGTAAACTCTCGATTTACAAACTGAGCCTCAGATTTCACTCACTTTGCTTGATATTCAAAAATTACCCAGCTTATTCTCGGTAGCATTTCTGCTTTGTCAGGAGTCTGACAAGCCCTCTTGTTGCTTAAAAGTAGCAGCAAACGGCGCTAATTTTATCCTGATAATGTGTTATATCAGTATCAAAAAACAAATAACCCAGACTAAGACAAGGCATCTAGGCATCAGTGTGGGTGAGCCATTAACATCTGATGTCATCACAGCCCCTGCTGAGATTTGAGCACTACATTTACACATCACTGTTCCACCATCTTTGCTCTTGGCAACACGGATGTTTAATGAACTGAAACGCTGTACAGTATACACCAATGGACTCTCCACTTAACTCGTGATCTTGAGGATGCTTAGTGTAGTGAAAGTAACTAGGCTGTTATGTAAGCTTCCTTTAATGCATTCAGCCTACACAATCATTTGCAGAGGAGGTTTTATGTTTGACCGCATCTGTTAGACCTGAGGTAAAGATTAACCAAAGGATTTTAGCCATTTGGCTCTTAAATTGATGTTTTTTATCTATAGGCCCAGGGCAGTATAGGGCACACCAGAACAGCCCTTTATGTCTTTGCTTTCCCTCACTCCTCTTTTCTGCTTCACCCCCTCGTCTTTAACCTCATTTCACCCTCTCTCCTCTCTTGTCTTACCTTTCTATCTACTTCACCTTATTTCCATTTTCTTTTTCTCATTTTGTCCTATCTTCAGCTCCAGATTCACCCAGCACACACTGGAAGCAGACAGTGTTTTATTTAGAGGACTACTTAACTGTCAAGAAGGGAGAGGAGATCTTCGGCAGCATCACTGTCAGGCCCAATGAAAAAAATGTGGTAAGGATCAAGATTTTAGACCTAAACATAGCTAGAATTCGGCACAGCCTTTACTAGAGGCCATACGATAATATAGTATGATAGTGTGAAAATATTCAAAGGAAAGTCCTGCATTTGTGACAATATGGAGATAAACTACACATGTAAAAGGTGAGAAAAATAATGTTTTTCCCTAGGGGATATTTAATCTTCAAATAAACTATTGAAGTTACTAAAATAGTCAGTTTATTCTATTATGTTTACCCACACAAATGTGTGAAGAATTAGAAAAAAATGCTACATGTTACTTCTCCACATGCAATTTGGATGTGTCATATCTATGTAACACATCCAACTCAACAATATAGAGGAAGTTTTTAACCCACCCTCTATAAACCTGAACTTTTTTATTAAAACAGGATTTAGGTTCATCAGTTCTCAGGGGAACAAGAAGAACTTAGGAAAAAAAAAGTAGATGTATATATTCATTATATATATTGTGTTTAATAAGTCTCAGAGGTAACGGTTAATGGCACTTTGAAGGCATTTTTGTTCTGATTTAGGTTGTTTGTCCTACATTCATTTCTTTGACTTTCTGCAGCGTGACCTGGAGTTTACCCTTGAGCTAGATTTTAAAGGACAGCTGTGTGAAGCAGCCATTTCCCATGACTATAAAATGCGCTAGGAGCAAATCGAAGACCGGGACTGGACCTACCCCAAGCTCCTCTGGACACAGCTAGAGAGGGGAGGGGCACGGGCTGTCCAACAAGCATTTCCACTGGCCAGGGAGGGCTAAAAAGTGGATGCATCTAATAAGATGCCACCAAGCCAGCGCCGATGTGACGCCATCAGAAAAAGCAAGTATTTCTCAGCAATAGTGTAGTCAGAAGATCAACAGGGACACCTCACTGAATGTAACATCCTACACGAACTTGATTCCTTTTCCTCAGATTTTCTGTAATTCATTTTTATTCAAGTACAATATAAAAAGCATTTGGGTCTCCAAGTTTGTTAATACAATTTGGAAAACACGGACCTATGTTATAGTAAGAGGGACATGGACTTTTATGTGTCCTTAAGTGCTCTGTTTAATTTTGAGATATTCAGATTAGGTAAAAATTAAGAATAGGGCCTTATGTAAACTTTTTTTTTCTTTTCTTCACATTCACAATGAGCCTTGTTAAACATCACAAAGGGAAACAATGTTTTTAGAAGAATGAATTGAAAGGACAAAAAGAAAGTAGAATTTGCTCAAATGGCTGAGTTAAATTTTTCAATTCAAATTTTCTTTTTATTATTATTATTATAAAGGAAAACCTTAGGAAACCAAGAAACGTGTTTTACATGGGGCTTTGTTTTTCCCTGTTGTCTGACAATTGCATAGAAAGTAGAAACTCAAAATGATTTATTCTATTATTTAGTATTTGCATGTGTAACTTTCTGGTAATTTAATTATATGAAAAATATGTGAATGTAGTTGTATTTCTTTAACTGACCACCATTCAGAACAAATGTGTTTGGCACCAATTAAAAGTGGGACAATATCTCCCAAATGATTAAACAGATGCAATATGAGCCCCTTTGTTTAGGAGAGTGGTTGAACAAAGAGTGTTGGGTAAATTGACTGTGATGATGAATAAAATATCCAAAACAACCGTCTGATCTTTTTCACTTGACTTTTTTCCTAAACTACCGTATTATTCTCACTGCATAAAAATAGCATAATACCCAAGACCATGGTGCACAAAAGAGGATTTAAGATATAGCTAAGATATACTATACAATTCTTCATTTTTTAAATGGTATTTTTCTTATATTTTTAAATAATCAGAACCCGTTGTTTTAAATCCTAAATCACATAACTAGCATAATTATGCAACAACATTATTGATAACTGTTGCAGCTACTTTTATTTTTACAGAAAATCCCCTTAATTACTTTAGCTTGACAGGCGTTTGCAGAATGAGGTGGCATTAGCACACAACTTTTGTGCCAAAATGAATATATGACACATTTTAGGTTGAGGGCTAAATTAATCCGATGCAAAATTTTCATTTTAAAAACAGTGGTTATGCAAACGCTGTGTATCCGTTGCGATTATGAACTCAGTAAATTGAGTATACAGTTTGAATTCTTGCAGGAACCTCGAGTTACTGTTGGTTGTGTGTCCTCACTTGCAGCAGGCTTTTTTCTTTACAGGTTGAGCACTGAGGATGACTGTGGTGTCTCTCACCCTGTCTTCCTGCTCCATTAACACTCTGAGCAGAGACAGGAAGATGTAAAGGGAGAGGAGCACTGCATGAGTTACCAGTATTAGCAGCACCAGATGTTCATATGCAACATTTAGATTTTCTGTTGGTATTTTACACACAAAGATCATAAGAAGCCGTCATGATTTTACCTGGCCAGAAGAGTCAGGGATTCCGTTACATTCTTGCCAGTGTAGGCACTGACCTCAAAGAACATCACCTTGTTTTCCTAAACAGGTCATGCAAACACACATGTTTGATAGAAAATTAAATGAAAATAATCAGCAAAAACAAAGGCCGGAAATATTGTAGAGACTTACAAAAGCCAGCTGATCTGCATCTTTAAATGGCACCTCCCTCTCTCTTTCCATATCCATTTTGTTACCAATCAGGAGAATGGGTATCCCTTCACCAGCTGCTTCCTGAGGAGATAAAAAAAGCCAAGTTAATGCCTGTAAGAGTGAACAGCACCATCAAGTTGTGTCAAAGCAAAACAGTAAATTTGGAAATGAAAAAACAAACCAAAAAAAGACTGAGGAGTGAAGAAACCAAGTAACAGCTATGAAGATTTGCAGGCTTACAGTAACTGTACCTGGACATTGATGATCCACGGTCGCACAGCCCTGAAGCTCTCCTCCACTGTGACATCATACATCACCACCACGCCGTCTGCCTTCCGGAAGAACTGCTTGGTTATGCTGCGGTACCTGTGTCAACGACAGGGATGGACGTCTTGTCTAAAACAGTGCCAAAGAAAAATGTACTTTCTGATATCTATGGCTATATAACAGGTAGTTGGACGAACATTGGATTAGATACATCTATTTTATATCATTATCCACCTTGAAATGAACTCACCTTTCTTGACCTGCAGTGTCCCAAAGTTGCATGGCTATCTGCATATTGTCCAGGGTTAATGTCTTCACACTGTAGTCAATACCTGATCAGAGTTTTTTTTTTTAAATTATTATTATTGTTAATTTTCCACAGCTGAAGAATATAATAAAAAAGGTAGAATGAAAGAGCATAGAAACGACTGAATTTATACATTTTGGAAGGAGGAACTATGGCATGTATACCGTTATGGCACTGAGCGGTTCACTAATTTTAGGAGAGAAGTGAATAAGAACCTGGCAATAACAAGGCTCAAGTTTGGAATGGGAGAGATGAAAGCGAGGGGAAACATTCACTTGAAGGGACATAATCTGCTGTGCAATGTGTGCCATGGCTCTTAGACAGGCAGTGTGACTCCCAAAGCCCTTTCATGTGATGCAAAGTCTCCCCCCCAATCTTCTTTTGTTAGCATCTACAAGCCCCTACCATCCATTCTCAATAGGTTCATAACAGCCCGTGAATGTTGTTATACATGAACACAATTGCGGTGTCTCTCTTCTCACCCACAGTAGCAGTTGTTGACGGCTGGAAACGGCCTTCACAGAAGGAGCGCAGCAGGGAAGTCTTGCCAACGCTGGAGTTTCCAACCAGGACAACCTTAAACAGACGGTCTGGGGCAAACAGCGCTCTTTCTTTCACCCTCTGAAAGAGATACGACAAAAGAAGAAAAGGGGGGGTGGAACAGTTAAACTGCAGAAATTTGAAAAATTAACAATCTGTTCAAACGCATTCATAGCTGTATACTGACTTGTTGAGTCTCCTTCCCGACAGGCTGTCCTCTTGGAGACAACGGTTTCTTCTTTGCTCTCGAAGAGGAGGACCTCCTCGTAGAAAGAGTTTCAGTGGACACCAGAGTTTGCCTGGACAGCGTTGAAACGGTGACATCTTCGGCCACACTGACACTAGATTCAGCCTCGCTCTTGGCTTCGTCGTCCATCTCGTCTTCCTCCTCACTGAGCTGGTGCAGTAAAGGCTGCGGCCCCCCGTGGAGCAGGTGCGGCAGGTGGTCCTCCTCGATGGAGATGACCCGCCGGAGGGGCCATCCGTCTGGCGGGGCATCCAGGACCTCCTCCTCTCCTGCGGGCTTCCTTCCAGTTTCCGTTCTCTTTGCCCTTTCTCTGCTTTTCACCGTCATCTTCTTGGTCACCGCCATTTTGGCAGGGGCTTTTTTGGCCTTCATCTTCGTGTCGTGCAGTTTGGGTTGGGCTGGGCTCTCGTTACCGTTGGCTAAATGTGAGTTTTTTTTCACCGGAGGTCTTTGTTGACAAGCAGGGGAGCTGGCAGTCAGGGCTGAGGAAGGGGTGAGCATGTCATCTTCACTGCATGAGGAGGAAGCAACAAACACGATATGAAGGTGCTCTGTGGGCAAAGCTTCCAGAGACTGGAAGGACCCATCCACCAACAGTGCGGTTCTTTGGGAGCAGAGGAGAAACAGAGGATAAACTGGATCAGTTCACTTGACTGAGATGAAGACCTAAATGTCAAGGCCTTCAGTTTTCTGCAATTGCTATATCAAAATGCATTTTATGATTTCTGTCAGTGTTTAGAATCAGATATCCTCTGTTTTTCCTCCTTTGATACATGATTCTCTCTTTGCGCAGAACAGTATAGACAAGTTTTTTTTTTTTTTTAAGAATATTCAAACATTCAGAGACAGCTGAGTTTTGTTGAAATAGCATTATATGATAAATAAAAACACCTTTCTGCTGGGAGGCTTGGGTCATCAAATAGGTCGGCAAGCCCGGCCCTCTGCTTCTGCTTCTTTCGGAGTGAGGTTCGAGGCTTATGCAAGAGAAAATAGAAACGGCTTTATTTCTAAGGTTAAAGACAACAAGTCAGTGTGCATTCACTGAGTCCAAGTAACCGTTACTTACCACACCGCTGTAAATGTCTCGCTCATCTTTTAAGTGCTTGTTCATTTCTCTACAATGAATGAAATATGGGATATTTTCAAAGTGTGCATATCTGCTCATCTTCAATAAATACAACTCAGCCATTTAAATTTTAGATTAATGGAGGTGATGATTGCAACAGAGGCCAAAATGACCAAGCTCAGAACTCAGGGGGTTGCCTCCACTTACCTGAGGAGGTCAAGTTGCTTCATTAGACTTTGCTTCTCCCTCTGCAGTCCTTCAGTTACTCTATACATTTCCCTTTAGCAAGACCAAGAAAAGTGTCCAGTTAAATACCGAAATACAAGTTATAGAACCTGTGAAGTATTTTTGTTCTCCTTTCCTGCAGAGTCATTTTCAAATGAAAGCCTAACTTAGAGTTTGAATAAAAACGAGTGGGTGTATTTCAGGTAAACTGGTATACAAGCAGTGCGTCTACTTGCATCTCTTTCTCCTGCTGCAGCTGGGCCGCCTGTTGCTGTAGCATGGTCAGCTGCTCCTGGGCCAGCCCCAGCTCCTGGCTGGTGCTCTCCAACGCCCTGGACAGCTCATCGTTGGTCATTTTTAGCTTGACGTTTTCCACGTGGCTCTCCTGCTTCTCACTGTTCAGATGGTGGCATTGGAGCTCTAACTGAAGAAGGATGCATTAAAGCTGGGTGAGTTGAACTACCTCCTCCTAAACAACCTACTCACTACTCAAGTAATACCACAAACCCAATCAAGTCTAATAAATCAAGTGCACTCAAACCCTGCTTGGATTCTGCTGCATGTTGGCTACAGCACAGTGGCAATGGCCAAATTGACCTTTTCATCTTGGAACTAAAATTAGAGCCAGGTTGAGGAAGTGTTTTCCAGGGTTGGACTAGATGGTGCAGAGGGTGACTGTAATATGAGTAAATGCTGATAGCAGGCTGAGGTTAGATTACATTTCAGCATAAAATGCGAGAAACCCGCTGTTTTAATTGTTCTGGTGACATAGCCATTAAATGAAAAGCACTCAACAGAGTCTCATGCTTCTCAGATGCTGAGAGTTCACAAATTCACAGAGGCAGCTCTTGCATGGACAAACGGGTGGGCTGCAGGGCAGCTGCTGCTTCTATCAAGGGTGACTTTGTCTGAGCACGCTGTCAACTGCAAAGGTATGCAGTGTGAGAATGTGCTACACAATGCAATGATGCAAAGAAATAACAAATTCAAGGGCTTTGTTGGACTACAAAATGCAGAACAGTTGCAGGCATTGAATATCTATACCACCCACTAAAGAAATGTAAATCAATCTTTTACTGACAGAAACACAGGGATTTGATCTTGGAAAATACACATCTGCTCATATATCAAAAGAAGAATCTACATCTGCCAAGACAGATAAATGTTGGAAGATGTACGTGTCAAATCACCCGTTTCTGCTTCTGGAAAATGTGTTCCAGCTCCCGCTCCTTTGACAGCAGCTGGTGCTCCAGGTCGTGGCTGCGTAACTGAAGGCGCTCTGAGTCCTGCATGGCCGAAAGAGAAAAGATTAAACATCACATGGTAAGGAGCGGCACATGATTGAAGTTAAAGACCTCCTCCTGGAAATCCAAACCAATCAGCCACAATGTGAAAGTCTCAAACAGGTGAAGGGAATAACGATCGTCTTGAGTTGTTGGAACATTCCTGAGTCCTGGTGTTTATACGGAGGGTTCTTTGACAGGCAATTAAACAGGTTCAAACCAAGCAGTCCAAGAAAACATTAATCTATGATAGCAGCAGCTGGCCAAAGTTGGAGAATCAAAAGTATAAAATATATGAATCAAAGAGTCCAACTGTAACCAGACATCCAAATGCATTGGGCAGGCTATATAAACAACCACTGGTCTGGTGAAGGGGTGTTCTTTGTCAGGTTTTTTTGCAGTTTGTGGTATTGTACCTTCAGTAGAAGCTTGTCTTTCTCATTTTTGATCTGAGCCTCCATCTCTTCATACAAATAGCGAATCTCACTGTCATGTGTGGCAGCCTTCCTGCAATGAGCAAACATAATTACTGGTGACTCTAAGAAAAAAACCCTGCAAGACATAAGGTCACATCGACAAGTGGAGCTGTGAGGTTGTGTTATTCCCTCTGCAAGTGTAATTATTTCTTACAAATACTTGAACAAACATGTAAACAGAGCAGCGGCTGAGCTTATTATTCATACCCCTGTGGTATTTCGGTATTTACATTCCCTCTGACAGCCCTTAAGACCTAAACAGCCAATTAGTGGAATGGGAAATAATAAGACGCGCTACACTGTACCATACAGTACCATGGGGAATTCTACATCCCATAGATTTTAAAGCTGGTAATGAATTCACCTGGAATTTAACATAATCTCACTAATCACTCAGTAAAGGGTTGGAATCCATATCAATGAGTAAAGTGATGAATGGATTGGAATAAATTGTTTTATGTTCACTTTTGGATTGTAACAAGTTTTCTCAACAGTAAAAGACAGAGTTTGTGTGCAGATTATTGTCCATTTGACATGAATAAAGGGGTTGTTTTGTAGAGAATTCCAAATAAATCCATGCAACCAGTCTCAGGCTGTAAATGTACATCTGGCATGAGGCCAGAATACAAACACAAGAGCACAAATCCACCTATATGTCAACAATCTCGTCAATGGCCTAAATTACAAGCTTAGTACATAGAAGCATTATTTGAATATGTCAACAGTTGGAGCCAACAAGGGAATTAGTCTTTTTTATGTCTGCATTTCATTGTCTCTCATGCATAATATAAAATGCCCTTTTCCTACTCAGTGAAGGATAATTTTTCCAGTCAGACCCAGCATAAAGTTGCTTAAAAAATGTTGATAAATCAACAAAAAAATAACAATTTTTCTTTGTTAGCCATGTGTCCTATTCTCTGACCTCTGGAGGGCGCTCTCCATCTCCTTCTTTTCCTGGTGCGCCTCTTTGATTTGATATGTGACCCTGGCCAGAAATTCTTCAAAATTGGACAGCAGATGAGGCTCATCTCGCCTGAGTTGGGCCCAAAGGCTGCGCACCTCTCCTGGACTGGAAAGCAAAGTAGAAGACAAACAGAAAGATTCGTACGATCAAACTAGGTGTGATTCAGACTCACACCAGTGGGCTAGGAGTGACACTCACTCCTCAAAGACATTACTGGCTCCCAGACTTTCCAGTAGCATACTGAAATGTCTCTCTTCCTCATCCTCAACCCCCGACAGCTTGGCTTCCCACTGGCTTTGGTAAAGAGCTTCCTTTGCCTTAAAGACCGGGCCGGAGGCTTGATTCTGGTCATCGGTAACAGAGATTCTCCGGCCATGGAGGAACTGACCTGGTGGAGGCAGGGATGTGACAGCAACTTGTTTGTTTTTTATTATTAAAAGAATCCAGGATATATTTGTAAAAAATGTAAAAGTCTCATATAACATTTAGATATTTAATTAGGGAAAAGTGACTGACTAAATGCATGATAATAAAAGATGAAGTTTTTTAACAGCTGTATGACTGTAACTTGAAAAAAGAATTTTTCTTTTAAAATGGAATAATTGTCCCTTCTTCTTCACAATGATTCATGAATTCATGAACCTAATAGTAGAGATATACAGATACATGTTTTCCCTTTAAACAGCTATCAGCAAAATAAGTCATTGTGTCTCTGAAGGATAAAAACCTACTAAATCTAGAGGAGAAGACTTCCAGTGTGAGGTGACCTGCACGGTCTGTATCCAGGGAGTCAAAAACATCCTCCAGCTCCTCTGCAGACAGAGGCAGTTCTCTGTGGAGCCTCTACCAGGAGAACAAAATTAAAAAAGAGGATTTTAACATGCTGAAGATCAGTTTTTACCAACAAGAAACATGCGTTCTTCTGTTTGTGATAAGAGGCTATTTACCACATGTATGACCCTATAGCAGCTTTCTTAGAAACCCTTAAAGTACATTTAACAGTAATGAATGTACAAAGCCTAGAAGAATCTAGACCCAATTAACACAGCTCAGACATGCTTTGTGCTTTAAAGGGACCTGTGTGTACTGTCCCCTGCTTATGTTCTTTCCTTACTTTAGCTTGTGAAATGGCGTGTGGGTGTATGTGTGAGCTATTTATATTCATAATCATTTCCATCAATTGTTCTCCTCCTCTCTTCTCAGTCTGTTCAGATACACAGAGTGGGCGATGTGTTTCTCTACCAATATAAAATAGAACAAAAAATAATCTTTTATTAAGTGTTTCATGTCTGCCGTTCACTAATATCAGAGTGTAACAAGACACTAAACTGTGCCACAGGTAAAAGCCTGTCCTTATGATCTATTGTTCTCTGTGAAGGCTTAATGCACTCTGATCGTCTGGGCCTTTTATGAAAGATCAAAGAACCAGAGTGCTGTTAGAAAAAAAAAAAAACTAAGCTCTCAAAATGCTATCAAGGAAATATTACTTTGAGATGACATTGTTAGCATCATGATTCATCAGACACCTAATTACTGGCAAGATTTCATTTATATGTATGAGCCATTTTGTAGGCATCAGCTTCTAAAATGTAAAACAAACCAAGTTTTTTAATCCTGAGATCTTGATCTTTTTCACATCTTTTTTTGTGAGCCAGAACCAGTAAAATGCTCCGAAAAAACGACACACGTGTAACACATCTAACCCTCATATCGGTGCGGGTGATGAAGCCTTGTCCCTCCACGTCGCATTTCTGGAAAAACTCCTTGGTCTTGTCCAACAGGGTGATGCGACCCCAGTCCGAACCCCTCCTCTCAGAGCTCAGAGCCACGCCGTTCAACCTGCCCTCCTCCTCCATGACAGGCGGGCTCTTAAGGACACTTGAGTGGCACCGTTTCGGTGCAAGCAGCGTGCACTTCAGTGCCAGTCAAGAGTCCGGGGCCCTTGCAGTCTTCATGACAACAGAAGCAGGAAGCAGCATCAGACGATGGGCTCACTGATAACGTGTAGGCTGAAAACTAGCTGCAGATATCTATATTAAGAGAAACACCACAAAAATAACAGGTAGGCTAATTACGTCTCACTCTAGTGTTGAGAAATATAAACTCTTGAATAAAAAACAACTGACTAAACTTGGTTGCATAAACATGAATGCAACACCGCTATATTCATTGCAACTATAGTACTTCCCTTTTTTATTAAGCCAGGAACAAGAGTCTCACAAAAGGTACATAAGCAGAGGGCAGTGGATTATGGTAATACCGCGCCATACAGAACACATGACGGAGTAATGCCTGCAACACTCTAATAGTCGTTTCTAAGAGGGAGATGTAGCTCTTCTGCTCTTTATCAGACATTATAACCCAACTTTTGTAGTGTAAAAAGCTGGACTACAGCGTTGCCATAAATGATCAATCTATAGCAACCCGTAGACAGTTCACAGCAAGAAACATGCATGGGATATTGTCATGAAAACCTTGATTTGAAGCAGACATATTCAGCATAATAGAAAAAATATAAAGAATTACTAAAAACACAAAGATACATTTTCTGCATACACAGACTCAGACTTTAACTTCTTTACTTGAGTATTAATTACATGTAATATCTTATGGAATATTTTGAAAATTCAAGCGAAGTATATTTACCACAAAAATGTACATTAGAATTAACCCGAAACTGAGAATAAATAAGTCTTACCTTTTTAAAAATGGCATGAACAAGACCCTAAAGCTTTTCTCCCTCTCAAAACCAACACAACATTGCCCGTGATCTGAGTTTAGGAGGTCTTGCCTCACAGATGAATGTTCAAGTCATTCTGCAACCATGTGATGTCATGAGGAAGCGGCCTGAGGCGTTACAAGCTGTGCCCACCCACCGCTCAGAGAGCAGCAGAGGAAACTCTCCTGAGCGGTCAACCTGGGTGAAACACAACAAATCATCTGTATGTAGCAGCAGACTTTTAAAGTCACTCTAAAAATAATTGATTATCAAGGGGGCTTCAATCCTAAGATAACAAATGGATGATGCATGATTTACAATAACAAATTTAAAATTTACTAATTTACAGCTACAATGCTGTTTATTTCAGAGCATTTGGTTTATATCAGTTTTCTGAAAATATCATGCATTGTTCATTCATAAAGCATTTATTCATTAAAAAAAAAAAATTTCACATCTTACAATGCCATCTTGTGGTCTGAGATAAAACTGTTTAGCAGTGTAATGTTGTTTAGCAACAAAACAATGCATATTTATTTTATACAGAATATGAAAAAGTTCCAATCTGTCAACAACTGGAAGCTTTTCATAACTGCCCATCTTAAAGCTTTAAGCAGTCATTTGTCATTTCCTTGGATCTTCTGAAGTAAATATTCCATTTGGAGGTTCAGATTTGGCTGTCCTTTCTTAGTCTTTTTGCTCAGCATCTGAAATGTCTCCAACTTTTTTTGTTTGTATTTCTGAATTGCTTCTTCTCTCTGCTGTTTGTTCTTCAGGTATTCCTGGAATTATAATCAAGACAGGTCAATAAGACAAGGTTCCACATTTAGTTATCTTACTTCATCATTTGCAAGCTAAATTAACACCTCACCTCTTTCTTTTTTTTCCGCTTCTCTATGACTCCCTCAAATTCCTCCTTTGTCTTCTGGTAGGAAGTCTTCTTTTGCATTTTCTTCTTCATACGGTTGCTTAATGGAAGACTGGAAAAGTCAAGAAAGGAAAGTTTTGCATGTGTCTCTTGTAAGAGTTTGAAATTCACAGATTTTAAACATTTTTCATCTTTTACATAAAAATTAAGTCTAAGTTGTTTCTAGATTTCCAAATTTGTGGCGTCACGTGACGAGGACAGTTGTGATTCTGACCAAATAATGTTTAATGTTAACATAATCATATAAAATCTAAATCATAATATTGGGGAAAACAGAAAACTGTTAAAGGTGAATGGATGGATCTATCAGAAAACTGTTAAATACAAAAAAAACACCATTAACACATAAAAAAGCTTCATGTTTATACATAATTGTTATCATAATATTAATGGGTATAAATAGAACGTTTGATTGTCAAAAACATTGCATATGATCCCATGCCCCACACATTTACAGAATATTTAAAAAAGGGGTGCTGCAATGGTAAAAAAAAGCCCTACTATAGAACTTTTAAATGTGGTCTGACTCAAAAGGATCAAATACAAAGTAAGCATATCTGAAAAATGCTAATCTAAATTTTGATCTTGTGAAATCACTACATCACATTTCAAACAGGGTTGCACACATCTCCTCATCACCTTTCTTCCTCCATGGACGCTGAAGGTTCAGGGTCTCCAGACACAGCATCGGTCGTGTCGCATCCAACCGTGGCATCAGCATCAGCTTCCTTTTCCTCCACCTCTTTCTCCTGCCCTTTGATTCTCAGCTTACTCCTGTTCACTCTGTTCACCCAGGCTTCTTTCCTCAGTTTCTCCGCCTCTGCCATGTACAGATGCTTGAGGTGTTCTGGATACTCCTCCTTATACAACGCTGTGGACCCTGTGTTCCTCTTCCTCTCCTTCCGAAGCAGTTTGTTGTACTCATGTTTGACTTTCTGTTTCCTCTGGAAAGCAAACCCTTGACCTGAGGAAATGCGACAAAGCTTGTTTCATAAATTGTAAGCCTAAAACTTAACCAGGAAGGGGCACTACAGTTTGAACAAATGTGAACAACCTCTTTAGAAAGAATGGTAAAGTACAGCTAAACTTAAGACAGTTTTATCACTTAAGGGGGGTATAAAATGGACTAATACAGTACAAAAGTTGACACAGAACACATCCCTACCTTCCTTTACACTGCCTTCAAACACTTTGCGTTCGGAGATCCATTTTTTCTTCTTTTTAGGGGCAGCTGGCGTGTTTTTAACTGTTTTCAAAGCACCGTCTATCGCTGCGAGCTTCTTACTCTTCATTGTTTTATCTATCGGCGCCATTTAGATTAAATTTAATCAAAAAGGGCAATGTTTTTCTACTCCTGTCGCTTTCAGGCAGCATGCATTTTCTTCACAGACGCTGCGTGATGACGTAAAAGGCAGACATGGACAATCGATGACAGATAAACTTTCCAAATGTTTTTTTTATAGGTTATGTGTTGTTTCTTTCAAGATTGAAGATTTTTTTCATAACATGATTAAGACAATGTAATAGATGATATATGCTAAAGATAAAAGTAATATGTCAAGAAAAATACCACGTATATAAAACTATCGATGAGTATTCTCTATTGCTCCTGCCTTAGCACACATTATTAATTGTAGACACTACACATACAACTGAGACTCTCCATATGGCTCTTTTCAACATGAAATCCTCCTCCTACAGCTTGGAAGAAATCCAGCAACGGATAGATGAAGTCAAGCGGTTTCTGTCTGTAACCCTTAGCATCTCTAATGCTCACACTGTAGAGTTCTACACTCACGACGTGTGGAAGCGGTTCATGGCGGTCTCACCGGAAGATGTGTTGTCAGCTGTGAGCTCGGGCAGCGACCAGCAGAGGGCGCCAGAGTCAGAAGAAACAGGTAGACAAACCACGCCGAAGCAGGTCTCAGGAAATAGACGGAAGAGAGTACAAATTCTGTTCTCATGTAAAGGTTTCCATATAAAATATGTTTGTTTTTTTGTTGTTAGGGAGGAAAAGCTCTTAGAAACTATCGTGTTGACATCTGAACTCCTGACCATTTAAGATCCAAAGTTGACATTTTCATTGACTAATTATTTCTAGTTTTTAAAGCATGATTGCATCTGTATTTTCCCTTAGCCACTAATATGAGTTGGTTTGCTGTACAGGGTGATCAAATCTCCCATTTGGTCATAGAAAATGACCATGAATTGTTTACTGATCAAGCACAATATAATTATACTCAGTTTTATTGGCCTTACTCTATCTGTGTTGTTTTTCTCAGAGCAATCCACAACCACATTTGGGTTTTGCATTGATTCGAACCAGCTGGTTGATACCCATGAACTTCTACAGGCAGCCAAGGCCCACTCTATCCCCGGCCTTGGAGTCTGTGCGAGTAGGGATGAGCTACTGCTGCACCTCAGAGGCAACGAGTTCGAGTCTGGCTCCCAACCAGCAGAGACGGGTAGGAGAGAGTGCACATATCGTTTCATGCTGAGAAAAAGGAAGCTAGACTAGAACAGTCCTGGAACGGTCAGCTCAGATGATGTCTGTATTGTACATCGTGGGTATTTTTTATGGTTTTTTTTCTGAGTTTTAAAGCTTTCAGAATGATCTCTTTTAATGTACCCATTCACAGAACTAGAGCCAGATGAGTTTATGAACTCCAAGAAATCCCATGAAGTTCAGTCCATGTCGGATGTCGTGGCCGGTTTGGCAAAGCATTGTGGAGTCAAACAGGTTTTGTACCTTTTTTAAAAACTCCATTTATTTCTTAGAAGGTTTACACCACAAGCATCTGTTATTGAACTGAGACATAATAATATTTTCTGACTTCCAGGTGATAGATGTAGGCTCAGGTAAGGGATACCTGAGCTCCTTTCTGTCTCTGCGATACGGCCTCCGAGTTTACGGCATTGACTCCTCCAGCACTAACACCCATGGTGCTCAGGAGAGGAACAGGAAGCTAAAGAAGTTCTCCCGGGCGTACCAGAAGCACACAAAAGGAGCAGGGACACACTCCGAAGCTGCACGCTCACTTCAAGAGGACACAGTGACTCTAAATTCAGAGCTGGGAAGCAACAAGGATGTTTTGCACGGTGAAGCAGCAGGAAATATTTCACAGGAAGCGATATTGTCAGTCAGCTCTTCAGATGTCAGTGCACCAGTGGAAACAGAGTCGGAGCGGAATCCAGAAACAGAGGAGCTCTTCCTTAGTGCTTTGTCAGCAGATCTGATACAGCTTGCATCCCCCAGAGTTCCCCCAGGTCAACTCAGTTCTGAGGAGAGGGAGAGGAGGAAGAGGGAGAACTTGGAGAGAAAGGCTGAGAGCAGAGGGGATGGCGCCGGCGCCCTGTTTTCCCCGCTCACGTCTTATGTCACCGCAGAAACCGAGCTGCGAGAGCTCATCACCGAGCTGCAGGTGGGGAGAAAATAAAAGAGAGCCTACAGAAAATGTCGGGATTGAATTTAACGTGCGCCAGGTGGTGGAGTAGCACAGCAGTAATCCCCCCAGGAGCTCTAAAAATTGTCGGTCTGTCACCACGCCTGTGGTTCGCATTATCAAAGCAGACGTAGGGGGGGTGGAGCCAAAGCTGTAGTCATCAGCAATAAATTCTGCCATTGATCTTCACCCTTCCCTTCTAATCTTTCCTTGGGTCTCTGCTCCAAATTCCAGCATGCCGTCCTGGTGGGCCTGCACACGTGTGGAGACCTGGCTCCCAGCACGCTCAGGATGTTCGCGGCTAAACCAGAGCTGGCCGCGGTGTGCAGTGTGGGCTGCTGCTATCACCTTCTGTCAGAGGAGTTTGACCCTGCCGGACCGGGTAATAACACACATCATGACGCAGTGCTGCTCCAGAGAGTATAAGGGGTCCTCTTAAGTCCCCAACATGTAGCAAAAACACAGAGAAACACCCTCAGATGCAAGTCACAGCCAGATGTTTTCTTTTTTTTTCTTGCATTATTGCAGTTTCTTAGGTTTTTGGGTGCCCTTTTTGCATCACAGGGCCGCTGTTAACAATCATCTTCCCACATAAAGCCACATAAACACTTGATGCACATTTTAAAAGAAACAAGTCAAATGTTCCGCTGAGAGTCCAGAGACTGGGCCAAGTTACCAATCTGGAGATCGAGTTGAGCTCTGAGACGCACTGCTGGAGTCATTACTGGGACTTTATGGATTTAGGATGGCTGAAAATTAGATTTTTTTTTTTTCCTTACTGTTTTTGTCTTTAAAGGGAATCAATTAGAGAGGGCTGATTGAGTGCCCGGGGTCTTCACTGTTTCATGTGAGGAGGCCGCTCGTCTGCGGCAGTGCAAGATGAAAAAACATTATGAAAGACTGATATCATCCCTGTTTCGCTTATATTCCTTCACTCCACTCTTTATGAGGTATGAAATAGTCTGCATGTGTCCTCATTTGGTGACAGCGGCCCGGGCCTATCTGTTGGAAAGCAGACGATCCGGCATCGCGTCATGCCTCGTAAACGGGGAGACCCTCAGCACTCGTCTCAGCATCAGCCAGGAGCCGAAAGGGATATCATGACAGCCCATTCAAAACGCTCGTTTTCTCAAAGTGGGCACGGGCCTTCGCCCCCCCCCTCACGCGTTAACTCCCGTTACAGTCCAGCCTGGGCAGCGGGCCAGCTCCTGTGGTGGCCAGCGTCACCGTTAAAAGGAAGGAGAGAGCCCCAAAGCTTTGTTATTTAAAGAAGTCATAGAGTTATAAAAGCAGCTCCTTTGGAGCTCACCATCCCTCCGTCTCCATGCGGGAACGGGAGGCCGCACTCGTGGTGTTTATTCACAACAACAACAACTGCTCTGAGATGAGAACAAACAGACTTCCTAGCTGGTTCGCAGCCAGCGACTTTTTCTCGGAGGCCAGTCACTCTCTTAAGATATCAGAAATGTTTGTCTTGTGGAGTTTCAGCACACGTAAAACTGGCGTCCAGCTACTCTAAGCAGCCCTGAGTGTGTGCTGCTGTCTAACCCTCACACAGAGGGAGGTCTTGTCCAGTCTAATTGCCTCTGAGTGTCTGTGTCAGCGAGCCATGTGCGGGGCAGAGGGGAGGCTAGCCGGACTGCTAATGCGCCTCCGTGTCCACAATAGTTTGCTGGAACTTGAGCACAGCTGCACATGCCATTAGCGTTTCCTTTGACTGTATCCCTCCCGGATCCACTGGGCCTTGACCCCAGCCGCTGACCTCTGTAGAAATGGCAGGAAAAGATGGCCGGCTATAAAGGAGCCACGCCGAGCTGCCTCCCAAACTCCTGCGCTTAGAGAAAGGCCGCTTTGCATCGTTTTTTTTCACCAGCTGCACGTCAGATATATTAAGTTTAAAGACACTGATTAATAATCAACTTCAGTGGGACACCAGAGCGGCACATGAAGTTGTAAAACCACACAAAAGTCTCGTGTTTAAAAAGTCTCACAGATTTGAGCACAGGGGAAAGAAAGATCAGCATTCAGATCCTGCTCTTTACCCTTCAAGCATTAAAAAAACAGACAAATGAAATCATTCATAATAAAAAACTGAGTTTATAAGGTCCTAAATTGAGCTTATTTCATATGCCCTGTTTCATCAAAGATTGAAAAAAAAATCTTTAAAATCCTTAAGTTTTTTTAAATTACCAGTGGTCTGAGTAACTTGATTACTGAGCAATTAAATGAGGGTTACAAACCAAGTTAAAGTTCACAACGATCTTCTTTTCAAACAGTAACATCTTGTGTGTGCGACTGCATGCGTGTGAGTGTGTGTCAGTGTGAGTGTGTGTCAGTGTGTGCTTTGGCTCCATTTTTCAGGATCACTTTAGGCGACACACACATGTGTGTGGCACGTTTGGCACAGGAACTGCACCAGTGGAAACAATTAGAGGGAGCCTAACAGCTCCATCAGTGCGCTGGGGCTTTATCTCTGTGTGTTCCTTCACAGGGTGTTTGCACAGCGCGTGCGGTTTCCCTCTGAGTCAGTACCTCCGCCAGCAGGCCTGGTTCTGCGGCCGAAACGCCAGGATGTCAGCATGTTTGGTGAGTCTGATGACACCCAAAAAAATGCGTATCGTCAGGGATGTCTCTGTCAAAGAGGCCTCAGGCAAACGGCTAAGTGAGGTCAATGAGCCAAGACAGAGTCACCCCCCACTGAGGACGCAAATACTTCTGATTATCTATTTAGGCTGGTGCAAGTTAACCTTTTGAAGGAAATTTTGGGAGGCTAACACACACTTGTTGCAGTGGGTTGAACGGAGGTCAGATGTGACAGCCTGATTGAATTTTGACCAAATTCTTTTTTCTTCTTAAAACTGCACGGGGCTTTTTCCATTAAGCTGTTTGTCCTGACAGTTTGGCCTTTTTTTTTCTCCCAAACAGGCACTGGAGAGAGTTTCCCTCGGCCAGGGGGTAAGTGAGGCGTGAATGTTTATCGTGGTCAATATCATAAACTAATTGTCATTATCACACAAGAATGGAAATGTCCTTATCTAATCTGTCGTCAAACTCATCCAGCCAAATCCATCAGATTGCTTCAACCCACAAATACTGGTGTACACAACCACCCGGATGTGGTATCTACACTGTAGATCTCTGCCCATTAATTCTGCTATTGTTTTAAGTCTGCGATTGACTACGGCGTGTTTATTTGTAGTGTAGAGTTGGAAGGCTCCAGGCCAAGGCTGATACGTGATACTCGGTTCCATTAATATGGAATGTTTATAAATATTAATGCAATCACAGAAAGATTGATTACTAGCTGGAACAGAGGTCTGGATCCAAAAACAAGCGTGATTGCTTGCTAGTGTTCCATTAAGTTTGAAAAGTGTCAGAAATGTTCATTAGCCCCTTTGTGCACGTGCAGAATAAATGAAGAGATGCACAAAAACAAGGGAAGTTGCAGTGAAGTAGGAATGTTTTTCTTCCTTTAACTACAGATTCAGATGGAGTCTCTGTTCTACAGAGCAGTCCTTCATGTGATCCTGAGGGACCACTACAGCTCCTTTAAAAGGTAATGCATGGCAATGGCAGGCGCTCCGGTCCAGTGTTGGTTGCAGTGACAAATGTATTTGTAAGAATGATGCAGAACAGGACTGGCGCAGAGATTTCATTGCAATCCAAAGGGTTTGTTTTCAGTGTTCTGAACCAGAAAGGGCAAGTTTTTGTTTCTGGTTTGTTTCAGTTCTAACTGAACGGAGACTAATAAACAAAAGCCACATGTACTCAGTGGTAGACTAGGTGAAATATCAAGTCCATTTTGAGAGCTTAAATCTGTCTCCAGCTAAAACAAAGATTAATTTAGGAGTGTTGACTGTTAGCTGTTTAGTTACCACACACCTCCAGCTATTCGGTAATATAAAAGCTGGATGACGGTGGCTTGGTGGCTTGACTTTGATGCGAACATCTGAAAATGTGCTCACAGTGTCGGAGCTAGCTTACTGACACTGAGCAGACATTACGTTGGCCAATTTTTCATTCTTAGTGCTGCGTTGTTAATGTTTGAGACAAAGTCCTATTTTTCTTTGAGTTTGTTTTAAGAGTGCTGCCATTTCTACATGGTGGAACTAAGATGTATGAAAATGACTGTATATGAAAGTCCAGAATGTGAACTTTAATTACATCTTAACAGTTTGATTTGAACATTTAAACTGAGGGGCAGCCCAAAGAAAACGGGGATTTAGTCCCAAATGTTATGGCGGGCACTCCAAATGCTGAGCACATTAGGTCCAAAAAAAGGACTTGGTCTCTTTGATCCAATGTTCCATTTGTTGCATAATAATATAATTACGAGGTAATTCTGATCATTTATAATCATCATAATCATTTTCATCCACCTGATTAGATGTAGCTTGTTTAAAGGAGATATTTACACATCACTTTACGCCATTAGAGACTTGCAGATAAACACTCTGCCATGTGCAGTGTGTCTATCTGAAGTCACTTTTAGTTGAGGTGTATTATTAAATGTGGATGAATACCTGCATGAGTAGCATAAACAAAATCAAAGAAGAAATTAGCTAAGTTTGTTTATTGGTATATGACAGAAATTTGAGAAATGTGACACTTCTACCTAAGAATAACAAAAAAAAACAAATTTATTGCAACCCACCAATATCTGTTCAAAATTAAGGAGGAGATCACAAGAAAATCCGAATTTATGCTCTATGCAAATGCTCTATGGATATAAAACCTTCACCATTAAGATTATCGATTCCAGTTCATGTCCGCTGCTACCTGGAAAAAAATGCTGTAAAAGTTCAAAATATGGGCACAGATGAAAGGAATTAAATGTCATAAAGAACACAAAAACATTTCGAATTGGCTGAAGTGTGTTCCAAGCTTTGTGTTCATGCTCAGTCAGCGTCAATATGCCTTTGATTGGGCAGATTATCACATTAGATTTGGTAACAGCACTGAACTTAACATCTCCTTTGTTGTTTCTGTGTTGATTTTGTTCTTCTTGACTTGATATTGAACCAAAAATAACTAAACAAAATAAAAATATTTAAATATGCACGTATATATTTTTTTCTTCTTGATATATGATGGATATATGATTTTTTTCATGTATCAGGAAAAAATATTTTCACATCCTGCTGTCAGAGTATCACTTTCCAAACATGAGTAAACTAATTATAAACACACAAACTCAGTTTTCAGTAAGTCTGGCTGCGTGGCTCCTCAGAGAATGATTTCACCTACCTCACTGAACAGAAAAATAGCAGGAGATGCAGCAGATCTCCGATTAGCTCTTATTAAATGTTCGCACACTTCTAAAAGACCCCTGAAAACCACCTGCCCTTTGACCTTTTGTTTAATGACCAGCATTAGTGGTGAAGATCCATTCGTTTTCTCCTAAAAGAGCTCCTTCATCACTGTTGAGTTCTTTGGTTATGTGTTTATTGATTTAACAAAAGATTCCTCAAAAGAGGGGTTGAGTGACAGGTTGTTTATTTCACTGTGCGGAAAATGAAAAGATATGTGTTCGATTTTCAGCGAAAAGCGAGTCGGAAATGTTTACTCCAAGGCAAAATCCTTTGTGGACTACGTTCGACGAGCCCTGCGCAGACTGGAACTGGATGAATCAAAGGTCAGGCCCAAAATATTGTGTTTATCTCACAACAGCTTCGAGAAACTGCTGAAAAGTCTGGAAAGTAGACGCCCTTCAGACTGTGTAGTGACTCCTTCTGCATGCTCACCAGCAGATCATCAGATTTTTTTTTAGAAACTCCAAAGACAGCTAGAGTGAGCTATCCAGATGCTGTCATGGCTCATGACGTTTCCAGGCGCAGTCATGAGGAGCCGTTTTTCATCTGTTTGCCCTCAGAAATCAGTGGAGTAGGATGACGCACGGCTGTCTGCGTTATGTTTGTCTTAACAGTTAAAAAAATACGAACCATCTTCGTTTTACCCTCCAACTTTCCGTTTGAATCTCATGGATACATATTCAATGTTGTCATCACACACAACACTACACACTGTCTCTGCAGCTTTCCGATGGCGACATCCAGGACTACCACGACATGTACAGAGAGCGAATGGACGAGATGCACGCCTTTAACATGGTACGCCCATCATTCCCAGCGCCTGGTTTTTCATCCTCATCTTCTAGTTTGACACGTGTTTGGTGTGAAATAATTTGCTTCTAGCAAAGGGCTAATAAATTACCCACTATTAAGAGAGATTATTGTCATGTGTGGGGATATTACGTGATAATGGCCGTAAAGAGAGTGGGAAAAAATAGAACCTCTGGTTTCCTCTGGCTGTTAATTATGCTGTCAACCAGCATACAAATTTCCTTTTCTGACATAAAGCAGTAAAACGGCTTTTATAGGAGTTCCCACAAGCTACTGGGCGGACACAAGTCATGGGGAGCTCTTGGTATGAAGTTTTTGGCTCACAGGAAGTATCCCAAAAAGGGAAGACAGACAAAAGCAGTTTGCTCTGTGATGTCAGATACAAATATTTACGATGACTTGTTTTCTGTCATGTAGCTGAAGGTGAGCCTCGCTCCCTGTATTGAAGGTCTGATTCTCCTGGATCGCCTCTGCTACCTGAAGGAACAGGTAAAACCGGGCAAATCACAGTCACTGTGCTGATGTGAAAGCGTGGCCATCCAAGATCTAAATATATAGTAAAACTAGTACAAATCAACCTTAGGTCTCAGTCCACAGCATACTTGTTACTTTCTTGTTGATTTTTTAGAGCAGTGATTAGTTCTAAGCGATAATAACATGAAATATAACTTCTATAAGGATTAGTATTTGATGCAATTCAATTGACATTGAAGGTTAATAAACATCCAGGGAGAAAAACTCATTGGACTGGTAATTAAAAAACACGATTTTAACTGAGAAAGACCATGTGTTTAGTAAAACTATCACATCCAGACTAGATACTTTAGAAAAGTGTATTCCAACTACACTTTAAGTCCTCTTTGGCACTTTTTTAATTCTTTTAGAAGGTTTCAATATGGCTGCTTCTGAATTCTACTGTATATGAACAAGTTTGGCAAAGAGTCTCACCTCACCTTTGCCCCAGAATCACACAGATGAGCAGCAGTCATGTTAATGGAGCTTCAGATAAAACACACTAACTCAGCTGACGTCAGCTACCACAACAGCTTGGCTCAAATTCACTGGAGCGGGATTCTTCGCTTCGATTGGCTCTCAGAGGTCGCTGATTGGGCTTTGAGTTCCGCATCCCGGGTGATTAAAGCGAACACACAGACACGTCAGCCGGGATCAGGACCTCTGACTCTCACATAGGTGTCGGCCTAATTCAATCCAGCGTGCAGTTTTACCGACATGTGCTTCTGCGGCCAAACACAACAGGCTAATCTTTGCCGCGGGGCGTTGTGATGAGCTGAGTACAGCAGGAACGCTTTGAAGTCGCAATTACGCGTGATTGTGTGTCAGACAGACTTTTTTTTTAGAGGGTCCTGTAATCAAACGACGTAACGCCAGCCATGCCGGCCAGCTTTCAGAGAGAGCGCTCTGCCCAGGGGAGAAGGAAAGAGGAGGCCAAGGATGTATGTTTAGGTGATCCATGTGTTGCTGAAGGGGCAGAGGCATGTTCAGCCTTAATCATACGAACGAGATGTCAGTGTGCTGTTTCGTTGCTGGTGTGCAACCAAACAATTACCGCTTTTTTCCCCTGTTTTGTTTTTCAAATAGTTTTTATATCCATGTTTTTGTTGTTTATTTTCTTATTGCATGCGTCTGGTCGCTGCAGGAGGACGTGTTGTTTTCCGGGCTGGTGCAGCTGTTCGACCCCCTGCTCTCACCGAGATGCTACGCAGTAGTCGGACTCAAGAGCGGTGGAAAGAGAGCAGCAAAGTGAGAAACGTGTCCATAACGGACTGATGCTGCGTTCATTTTGTGCTTCAATGTATGTGAGACCAACCGTTCAAATAACAATGTATTATGCTGTATTCATACCTATTCACTGTAATCAGATATGAGTTTATCTCATCGTGTCATTAGTTCAATTGTCCCTTTTTTTCTAAATTTCTTGTTTTTTATATATATATATATAAATGAGTCTTTCATTTCTTGGTCCTTGAGATCAACTCAATACAGCTGGAAAAACAGCATGGTCTGATTGAATTATCTCTCATTGTGGCCTTCTGACTTTACGTTTGACTGACTTTTAAGAAAACACTTGTTTTTAAGGAGCCTTCAGGGAACTGGGGACATTTAGGGATTTAAGAGATCTTGGATCTCTTAAGCATGTCTGGAAAGGCCATTTCAAGTTTCTTAAACTAAAGAAAGTGGTGGTCATTGACAGGGCTATAACACTGCCCTTTTTCTAATTTTTACCCATGTTTTGCTTTTTAATTTGTCATTTAATAAATTATTTTCTTACTTGCTTGAAAACAGTTGTTTCTATCTTTAACTTAAATTAATAATTATTTGCTCAGGGCTTGTTGAGACAAAATAATTTGAGAAAGTTATATACTTTGGCTCTGACAACTACTTGTTTTCCTCAGTGTTCTTCACAGTTTGAAGTCCCAAATGTATTTCTACCTCAGATTCACTTACTTTTTCTCTTCTCTGTAGGGAACAACTTAAAACGCAATGTTCATACCAAGCTTTTTTTTTTTTTACTGTAAGGAGATTATTGAGAAATGGGCTTCCTCATACATTTATATCTCCAGCAACTTTACCTAATTGAGAAAGTAGATCCTCTGGAGAGAATGTTGGCTGAGAAAATGTTGTGCAAACAAAACATACAGTCAAAAATACATATCTAACTTGAGTAGAAGAATAACTGAAAGATAATGAACAAACTGTAAAAAAATGAATAGAAAACATTCATCTGTAATGGTATGGGACTTCGGTGGTGCACACTGTTTGCATAACCTGCACATCTGTAAGACAGATTGTAAAATCCATATTACGGAACATATGCTGCCACACAAACAATGTCTTTTTTTTTTATAAAGAAGACCGTGCCAAACCACATTCTGGATGTGTTACAATAGCACTGCTCTGAGGCAAAAGAGTCTGAACAGACCTGTATGCAGTCACCCGCTGAGAACATCTGATACATCATCCAGCAATAATGACAACAAATGATGGAGAGATGTTTTTTTTTTAAACACGTTGCTGGTATGAAGTTTCTAACTTCATACCAGCAAATATGAGCAAATGATCTATAGAAAATAAGAATTCATGTCTTGGCATTTGATTAATGTGTCTGTTGTCAGTCACTTGCAGGTAGTTCCGATCTTTCTTTGTTGACTTTGTAGAGCGTTCCAACTTTTTGGAAATGCAGTTGTAGTCCGGAGGGTGAAGAATTTAGCTAAGGATAACAGAAGTCGGAACAGTTTTAACAAAATTACAGAGATCATGAGCTAAATTAGTCTGAATGGAGATGATTGGAACATGCTGTTCTCTCACACAGCTCCGGCAGAAAGCATTTTTTCTCATCACATCTTCTGAGTGTCTATTTGTCACCGTGGCGGGAGAAGCCGGCACATCTGCAGCCCATTCACGGGCCTGTCAACGTTGCTGCGGTGAAAACTGTGTCCCGAAGCCTTATTTTTACCTCGGCACAGATAAACGCCGGTGCTCTCGGCTGCGTCTGGACCGTGTTTGGATCCAGCTCCATGTTTCACTCTGACAGCCGGGCCGGAGCGGCCAAACTGGACTGACATGAATGCAAGCAAATCAAAGACGTGAATGACGCTTGTTTGGGATTTAAACGTTGCCGGGTTCTGTTGTGGCCAAGTGAGTCATGTCCTCTGGACCTGCCGCATCCTCGATGCTTGCACGCATGTTTGCATGCATGTGAGGACATGTAAACGCTCATCCTGGGAAGATCTCTTTTATGTGTCCAGACAGAAGACTAGGGGGAGAAAAATCTCACGACAATGGCCATTGCACTCTCATTGAAGCAGCTGAGTAGGTAAACTTCAATTTCCTGACTTTGCACTTAACAGAGGACAGGAAAAGGCGTTCAGGACGTGGTAAAGGCTCAGACATAAATAGCAAGCACAAAAAAGGCTTTCCCGCCTTCAATGACTTTTCCCCGTGAGGTAGAAATGTGAGGAAGTAGAGGGGAAGTGAGGGGAGTGCGTCAACACTTTGACTTTTGTCTTTGATCCAGGTTTCTCACGGTGACCCCTCTTCCATTAAAGCATCAATTTCTAATTTATTTTCAAAGATTTGTTTGATTTCATGGATATTTGCAAACAGTTAGGACTATTTTAGCTGCCTTACAGATTTTTTGCAAATGAGGAAGCCGGGTTTCAGGTAAAAACCCCAAGTAATTAAAGGATACTCTCTGGAAGGGAAGTGTCAGGCTTTATCAGACATAAACACAGCTTAGAAATGAGGAAAAGGAGTGGGAGAAGGACATGGGCCACTTTAAGTGATCATTTGTAAAGTGTCAGGAAGCCAAGGAGGCCTGCCTTCTAATGGTCTCTGCTCTCGACCCAATTTCTTCTATATTCATCATGTCATCCTGTTTCAGCTCTCCAAACACAGATTGGGACTTTTTTTAGGAAGGTGAGAAAAGATATCCATCAGAGAGAAGGGTGCCCAAACTGCCATTTCCCTGCAGCTCCATTCCTGTTTTGACAGCAGTCCTTTGTCGGATGGATGGAGATTCAACCAGCACGTCACACTGAGACTCTTGAGATTTATTTGCTGTAGATACCAAAGGAGAAAATGCATTTTACACCTGCCACAGATGGATCTGCAGCAGCGTAAACCTACGCGTCAAACAGTGTAATTGTTGGACTTTGAGTCCTCATGGTGTCACACTGTGAAGAGTTAATGGACTTGAGGACCGACATCTGTTGTTTTCAACTAAAAACACAGACTTCAAATGCATCCAGAAGCAACTCTTGGCCCAATCATTGGTCTTTTTGTCAGTCCTGAATGTCCTATTACCATCACATTAGATCAATCAGAAACATCTGCTAATGGAAAGCACGACTTCAGTCTCATAAATTTGGAAAACAAATTTATGTCAAACCCAAATTGCTTTGTTTTGTCGATTTAAATGACATGTTTGACGTGCACAGTTTTGTCTGTAAAACATATTTTTTAGTTATGGCAGCCACAACATGTTGGCACAAACTGCTTAATGGATGTGGCAGACGGAAACTGGAGTGGAACACATGCTCGATGGACGCCACCAGGCTGGGATGTTGCATGTTTTTTTTGTTGTTTGTTGAAGTGGGCAGAAGGAAATAGCTGACATTTAATGCTAGTTAAACTTGTTGTAAAGTTCTGCATGAGTGTGGATGGTCGGTGCTGAAGTGGAGCACAGCTCAGATTAAAAATTGATATGCGCTTTTCTGTCATGTATTTTTTATATATATATTTTCCATTTATTTTTCAGTAGTGTTAGGGTGGCAAAATAAAACTGCATATCAATATTCTCAGTCAAGTTTAGGAAGTCTGCTCCCTCATTTGCCCTTCTTTATGGATGTTTTCATGCATATTTGACAGGATGGATTGGATATTTCCTTCTTTTTGCATTAGACTTAAGCAGTTTTATCTTCTTTTCTGAAACAATACCATTAACCACTATTCATCATCATCAGTGTATCAGTGAAAGTACAACAATGAGCTTTAATTGACTTTTTCGTCTTAGTATGCCTCCAAACCAAAACAATCATTATGCAACAGTTTAATCAAACAAGTTTGTCTCCTGATCTTCCTGAGCAGAGCTAGGTTGTGGCTCCACTGCGGATGTTCCATAAATGAGGGAGAAGACTGATTTTAGATTGCTGAGATTCAGTCTTAATATTAATAGCATCCATTTCTGCGAGGGCACAACCCAGCCCGCTTGTTCCAGCTGTGATTGTCTGTTTCCTGTACGATGTTTATCTGCTGGGGCAAAGAGGCGGTGGTTCCGGAGTCAACAGCATGTGGAAATTACCATCAGTTGCTTTGCACAGCTTGAGGTGGTGAAAACATCTGTGATGAAGAGCATCAGTGGAACATTTTTTGGTTTTGAATTGTCTGATTAGTTGTTTTTTTAAAAACTAATTCAAGCAGGGGGGGAGATGCAACTTTGCCAGTTTCTGTCTCTTTGTGGCCGTTACACCACCTTTTTAGAGTAGTTTTATGGGTGTTAATGGTAATTATTGTTTCAAAGTTTCTTTGAGCATGAATTCAACTAGTTTTCTTTCTCTGTTAGGTCACTATATGTATAGCCAACATTAGTAGTAATTTATTCATGAATCTTAGAGGTGCTCTGTGTGAGGGGAAATTCCTGTTCATATTTAAAACATATACCTACACGTTCAAGATGCTGCTGGGAATAAGAAATACAAAAATGAAACTGGGACACAAGTCAGATGTGAAAGCAGCTTTGTCCATGAGCAAAACAAAATGTGTTTTAAATGAGAGAACCCATGTGTTTCAAATTATAGGCTTTATATGTGATTGCCACTTCCTGAAACAACAGAAACCAATGAGGAAATTAAAAGATGAAAATACATTCATCAAACGTGACAAATGTTCAAACTTTTGGAAAAATCAAAATCAAAATGACAAACAGTGCATGCAAGCGCAAAGATTCTTCGCCGCCCATCTGAACCCCTTGACGACTTATTAAAACTGCATGAATCAAAAGTGGATGTTTTAATCAGGGGTTGTGTCCTGTCCACACGCAAAGAGCAAGTTGTGTTCCTCGCATGGCTTTGTAGTGAGTACGAAGCAGGTGATCAGTCAAACAGGGGTAAGTGTTTTTTTTCCTGGTATGTGTGTGTTTACCCCTGGGCCTGTTTAGACTCTCCACAGGAACATTTTTCCCGATTTTTCTCACTAATGCCTTAATCACTCAAACAGGCTACTGCCAGACAAATCACTGTTGTCCTCGTAAGACAACTGAGGGGGCAGTATTAATCTCCAAATTTGCTTTAGAGCACGGATTCGTTTGGTAATATGTTGAAACAGTCTCGAGCCACAATTGTCCTGCAGCTGACAATATAAAACCTTAATTTTGGGTTGTTAAACAGGCTGACAGATTAAAGTGTTGAGAGGAATGAACACCTCACAGAGAGACTCTCATTTGTTACTTTTGGACAATGACAAATGCTACACAAGTAGCCCCTTCAACATAAGTCTCAGGTATAAAAAAGACAGAAGCTTTCCCCCTGAATCATCCAACAGGTTCTCAAAGGTCGAGGTCAAGTTCTGCTCTGAGTCCGGGGCAGTGTCGCAAATGACTCACGATCCTCACGCCGCAATGCTTTGTCACTGTCTCTGCCACTGTGAACCAATGCCCCCATGCTCCATACATCCCGCTCCAACCATCTGCTTTTCCTTTCTGTGCTTTTCTTTGGTGCATTTATCCTGCTAGAGCCCCGACTGTGGGACAGGAGTTGGCCCAGCTGGCAGTCAGCGGGACCAGGCGGCGTGTTTCCAAACCGGTGCCCATACGCACGCCGCCCGCCCGCCATAGGGTGAGGAGCAAGAGTTCATCCATCACACGTGCTGCTCTCTCAGTTTAGTCTCTCTGCAGAGGCAGTGGGGGGTTGGTGAAGGGAAATGAATCAATATTTTTCATTCGGGGTCAGAATCAGATAATGTGAGACCTTCTTTGGATGCATTCTCACAACATGCCTCGCAGGAATACATTTGAATTGATTAGAATTTTTTTAAATAAGCACCTGGCTTCCACCATGTATTTTTCTGTGTCATAAACTGTTAGATTCAAAATATAAAGTGCAGAAAATATAAAAGAAATAGACAACTTAATAACCCAGGGATTAAACCGGTCACTTTCCCCCTGATGTGAGATGGAAGGTCAATCAAAATCTGCAACATGCACTATCTGAAAAAGAAAGACAAAACAAAATAAATCTGAATCACAAAAAATATTTCATAAAAGTAACACATAGCCATAAAAATCAAGTTTAATAATATATATCGTAATAAATTGTATGTGTACAAAAAAAATGTAATTAGCAAAAGCAGCTTCAAAGAACAAGACAACACCAGATACTAAATGATTCCACCTGAGTGAAAAAAAATGCCACAAGGAGACACCAATTTACCAATTAAATACAACATGATGACCACAAAGAAAAACAATATGACAAAAAGATGAGAGCAGGGACAAAAAATAGGAAAGAAAGACAAAAAAATCAAAGCATAATTGCAAATGAAAAGACAAAGCAAATGTCCACACAATATCATTACACATGCACTCCTTGCCCCCTTCTTTGTATCCTACTACATCACAGCATCTATGCTAATACACCAGCCAACAGTTACATCACGCTGTTACCATGGCAACTATCTACAGATATTGTTTGATAGCAGTTTTCCAGTCAAATGAAATCCACAGCCCTCCCTCTCCATCCCACCAGCGGTGCACGAAACCACAATCACTGCCCTGGGCTTCCCCCACCCCCCCCCCCCCCCCCACCCCTCACTCTCTTTTTCAAAGGCTCCAGCGCGCATGCGCCGTCGCGCTGAGAGCCACATGCGTTTTTCCCCCCTTCTCTCTCAGTCTCTGTGCTGAGCCGGAGCCAGAGGGATGCGCACACGGAGGACACCGCAGCCCAGAAACGCGCACGGCTGCCCGAGACAGACCCGACAACACCCCCCCGGCCCCCCAACCCCCCCCACACCACCTCCAGCAGCCCTGACCGGCGTCTGACCGCAGCGGGACATGGCCAACTTTGTCACACTTTGCACGGCGCGGGGAATGCCCTGCGTGGACCGGAGAGCCGTGCTGCCGAGCGGCTGAACCCAGAGCACAATAACAGCCTACAGAGAGACACAGAGAGAGAGAGAGAGGAAAGGAGCCGATCACAGTCTTATTTCTTCCCCGGCTCCTCTCCCCCCCCCGTTGGCGTTGAGAGATGATCACGGAGCTGGCGTGCACCGCCGTGGCCGTGGGTCTCTATCTCAACACGCTGGACGCCGATTTCTGCTACGATGACAGGTACGAGCATCCCCTTCCGTCCACCAGAGCTCCACTTGTCATCCTCCCCGGTTATCTCCACAAGGAGACGGAGGAAGAGGAGGAGGAGGAGGAGGGGTGGGCTGTGCCTGTCCTTTTGCTTACATGTGCTTTTGTCGGCAGACTAATAAATCACAGCTCATTTAGCCCCTTCTACTCCAAAACAACAAAACGGGGAGAAGAATGGGTTTATATAGATATAGAAAAGAAGTCTTATTCTAGCAGTTTTCCTCAAACAAATGTGCCTGCAGAGATGTTTTTATCTAACTTCTCCTCTTGTGCTGCTCCCAAGGCAAATTTATTCAAAGAACTGTATTGCACACACCCTTTAATATTCATATTTATAATGTCAGTTCACAGACATGTCCAAAAATTGGACAAGTGAAACAGAACAAAACAAAAAAACGGCAAAAATATTCATTTGTTTTTGTGAAAATCCTCCAGACAGATTTCTACTTTTAGACTAACTTCCAGCACAGGAGGTGATGTGGGTTATATCCGTGTGAGCAGCACCGTTTCCATCACCTCTCCAACACCGAGTGCCTCTGAAGCTCTTTGTGTTGATGAAGCACTCATGCCTGTTCCAACAATGCCCCGCTCTCTGGGGAATAAAGCTAATTTAAACTGGGAGTCCTTTTGCAGACAGCTGCAAAAACCTGTCAACATTTTCTGCTTGTGGAGGGCCACTCAGAGGAGACATGCTCATTGGTATAGACTCACATTTAATTTCAATGTTTGATCAATTATTTAGCCCACAGACTGTCTAAAAATAGTTAAAGGTATCTATTTAGTTTTCATCTGGGATCTTATTTTTTTCAAAGTCAAGACAGGTTCAGTTTGAAGTGTAAGAAAACAGAAAAAGAGTCAGAAACCCTCGAGAATAACAGGCTTGCTTTGAAAACATGTTTTCCTTTTCCTGTTAAATATGACATTTAAGCTCACCCACAAGAGCAAATCTGAGTCAGACTCACCTGCACTGAGCTCTTAAAGGCCTTAGAAGCTTCACACCAGCTGAGGTAAACAGATCTGTGCATTATGGCCACAATATACTCCACCTGAGGTGCGAAAAAGAGAAAACTACCCTGATGGATGTCAGATTTGATCCAGGCATCTGTGTGTTTTGGTAGAAAAAAGCATTCCCACTCATGTTCACTAACCGAGCCACTATTTTAGACAGACTATGTAGACATAAGTGGGTTTTGCCCAGTCTGAGCTGTTTTTAGAATTTCCTAGACTGTCAAGAGTTGAATCATGGGCTGGACCCACCTGGGCATGTGTCAGATTTCTGTTTGGATTAGAATCATGAGCTGATGAGGAACCGGTTGCCTCCCTCGTTCGCCCCCTGCTCAGTCAGAGGAAGCTGTCTGGTTAGCATCTCTAGACACCCTTTAAAGGTCAAATATTCCCCCACTATTCTCCTCCGCTCCGTGGCTGACCCCACTGAAAGCACGTGTGTGTGGAGGAGCCGCGGTGGAGGGAAGCCCTGTACGTGTCTTCGGTTACATCCCTGCAACATGCCCAGAGGTTAGGCATTTATCAAATTTGTCCCCGGGACTGTGTGAGGTTGTCAAAAAGCCAGGGGGCGGGGGGGGGGGGGGGGGGGGGGGGGGTTGTTATGGCTCTGCCTGTTTCAGGCCAGGGTCGCTCTCATCACCTCTGAGAAAGTTCAGAATCCGTCGGCGCGGCGTATCTATCAAAGTCAGCGTGGTAATTTACACTCCGGGGGACAGACACCGGTGTTTTGGTTCAGCGCTCTCAGATGAAGGAGGCTGAATACCAATCAGAAGCATGACCTTCCGTGGTCGTTCATCAAACAACGGCCCCCATCGTGGGGTCAAGAGTTGTGTTCTCCCTGTCTGGTCCCTCTGGGACTCCAGGAGAGTTATGAGCTAAAGGTTAAGGCAAGAGACAGATTGAAGTGCAAGAGAGTTCAACTAATCATTCTGCTCGGGAGTTGTCCAAAAGAGCCGACGTGCTTCTTGACCTACTTGTTTTCCTACCGTTGTCCCTCACGGTGGGTTAAAAACCGTCTTATCTGACCTTTCACTCCATAATCAAATCCTTGCTCCACGTCACATGCGGTTCTCAATTTCCTAAACGGGACGGCGCGGCAGTTAAGTCTTTATCCAGACGCTGTGGGTTGTGGGGATGTTCTGGCTAGTCTCTGCTTATTCAATCATGTCAAGTGTTTTTCCTGGGCATCGCTCCGGGTCTGGCCAAGCGCTCTGCGGGCCAAACGTAATCCCAATGAAAAGCCGCTGCGTGTGAAATGACTGAGTTTTACGGGTGCTGGGAGTGGACTTGAGCCAGGCCGTATTCTGATCAAGGGGAAAGAAAATCATGACATGGTCTACCGGTTATTGTATTTTAAAGCAACCCAGCCACACTGCTGATGTATTTGTTTGACTGTTTGCTGGAGAGTTGTGGTCAGTTTCAACAAAATATGTCCAACATAACTGCTGAACCCTCATTTTAACACAAATCAGTGAGGCTTTTAACAAGACCCCAATAGTGATGGTAACGTTTTTAACCAATCTTTTGAACTAATTAAGCCTGTGAACAAATGCATGTATCTACATGGGAAACTACAGTATCGTTAGGTAGACTAAAATGGAGAAAATAAAGAGATAAAGGAAGAAATGCTGTGAAATAAAATGTATCCGGGTGGCTCTCAGCATTCAGACTCGTGTCTCCAGAAACATCTGTGACCCCCAGAACATCCCAGGCCACAGTCACAGCTCTAGTCAGAATTGCATTATAGCTCCCTTGGGAATTTGGGTGAAAATGTCTTCCGTCTTTGTCTCAGTGGAGAAAAAAAAAAAAAAATCATCTCGTGCTTTGAAGTGTTTGATGGGGATTGGATTTCATTGACTGGCACATAATGGCCTGTTTATGCGCACTGTAAAGCATGTATTTAGACTGTTAAATATTGCAGGCATTTAGCAGAGGTGACAGAGTAATGACTCGAGGGAAGCGGCACCATGAAAACAGTTGATCAGAGTCTGTCGGGTGCTGCATCTGTTCCTTTTCTAGCTTGGTATGTGAGGTTAGCTGATAAATGCATCAAGATGAGAGCATCTTGAAGAAGTGCCTTTTAATCATAGCTGGAACCAGAGGGCTTTGACTCGTGAGTGCTGTTGTTTTCATGTACGTTAATCGCATGTTCAGTCCCGAGCACCCTCGGAGATGCACAAATACAAAAAGCTTTTCTGCTTGACCTTAAAATCACATGGCGGAATCAAGAAAAAAGCCTGATGATAAATAAGCATTGCTGTGTCAAAAATACCTGTGTACTCGCACCAGCAGCTACTGAGATTAGAGAGGGGGTAAATTCAATCAGCTCTAAGCAGACGGCAGCTTTTGTGTCTTTTTTTTTATGCTTACGGCCACCATTCCGTCTTCATTTAAGAAAAGGAATTACAGGGATTCCCTAATAGCGGTGGACAGATTTGTTTGGCGTAGGTCCATGAAGGTGTCCTCTGACAGCTTAGTGGACAAAAGACGCAGCAACCCAAATGTTGCAGTTTTTGGGATTTAATGCTTCCAGAGACAACGGCCCTTTCTTTTCTCGCAAATTGTGCCGTAGCTTTTATGGCAACACTCAGCCAATTTCATATTAAGTTCTCTTCCTAAGCTTTGGCTACTAAAGAGCAGCTAAAATAGAGCTAGAGGAAGAGCTGACCTGCTAACTGACACTCTCCAGGAAATAAATGCTGATGTCACATCTTCTCTCTTGTTCACTTACAGTCTTTGGATCATAAGATATCGGCAAAACGTATGAAAAGATAAGCTAGCCAGGAAGCTCTGTCCCATTGTATTAGATCCATGTATCACCTCACTCTATCAATTTCCTTAATTATCTGCTGAGTAAATGTTCCTGCTAGAAGTCAATATGCTGTCACTGGACAGTTTCACTCGAACTGATCATTACTCCGTGTTTTTTTGGAAACAATTCCATAGTTATGTTGGTACAGTGCCTCCCTGAGAGCTATGTTTAGGGGGGGACATAAATGTCTTGGAGTCTGTTTCATTTATCAAGTCAAGTTGGCTGGCTCATTGTTTTTTATTCACAATTGCTATTCTTTTTATTATTTATTGGTGGAGCAATAGGCAACACCAGGATAGATCATATTACAAGTTCCTGCTGGTTATTTAGCTCCACCAAATGTAGTTGGTTGTAGGCGATCCGAAGCGAGAGTATCTGAATGGCAAATTCGAGCGTTTGACAAGACAACTCACAACTGGGGATGACTCCATGGATATGTTTATGCTCTCCATCGTATCGCTTGACACATTCCGTAATGTTATTTGCGCACTGCTGTTTTAATCATGGATATCTAACTGAAAAGGCACGTGTCGCCTCTCGGCCTGGTTCACTTACAGCTTCTAATCATTATCTCCTCTGGGTTGGACTCCCAGTCCTCGCTGCTATCACTTTCAGATGACTGCAACACATGGTGCCAGCGGTGCCAGCGCCTTTTTGTGGAACAATTATGCACGTGCTCCCTCGCATTTAGGCTGTTTGGTTTTTCGGCGCGCGCTCAGAGCGGACAAATATTGAGAGAAGAAGTGGGCTAATGAAACAAATGAGCCGAACCTCTGAGTACACTGTGTGCGCAGCGATGCGACTGCGGTGCGAAGACACGAGTCTGTCAGGAGGAGTTTTCTCTGGAAGCATTACGCTTAGTTTGCCCTGAAGACAGAATTAAAATGAACAGTGCGGTGAGGATAGCTGATGAGAAAAGTGTTTCTGAATAGTAATTTGAGATGGTTTTGAGGCGAGAGGCTTTAAACCAGATTTGCGTGGGATTATGTGTCTTCAAGGAGAAGGAGGCAAACCTCATAAAAAGTGTGGTCTGGTGTTGAAAAAGTCCTCTCCAGTGATGCGTCACCATCTATTCAACATCCCAATATGTATAAGCAATAACATATGTTTTTACTCCCCGGGTAAAAGAAGCCTTGTTATTGAAGTCTTGTTTTGC